TGCTAACTAATCTTGTTGACAGTGAAGTGCTATTATCTGAATCTTTTCCCACTGACCATAATTATATCAGTAGATACTGGGCTGATACCCACTTTCTATCTCAAATTATTGTGTGATGATACTTACAGTATGATATATATACAGTGAATAATAAGTGCTCCGGGTTTCATAGTGCTAATGTTTAATTTCCTCCATCCCTCCAATGTAATTTTGGTAGTTGGAAAAATCTTTGAAACTCCAATGACCATTGGGTTTCTTGAGCATGTTTTTGATGTTCTCTTAGGCTCTGGAGAGTTGTTTTGTCTGAAGTAAGTGATAGATGATATGTTGGGGTTGCTCTGGATCAGGTGGAAAGGATATGATAAAAATAATAATTATGATAATAAGTTTATTTGAAACATTGCAACCAAACAGTTGGAGTTATCCAGGTTACCAATTGAGCTTGAATAAAAATATTAAGTAAAATATTTACATAAGGTACATTTTCAGTTTAATTGTCATAAATACTATAGCACCATGCTATCTCAGCTCCATGCTATTGGGATTTCTATCCATAAAGAGCCAATCTAATCCTTCTGTTGTCCCACCCACTGCCATTGGTTTAGTTCTGTCCAATGATGGCGCTAGCATTTAAAATTAAATGGTCGTTACTTGATTGTGAATGTATCTGTTAAGTGTTACTGTGAGTAATTTTTCTAAAATGCAACCAGATTTTGCTAATTTTTCATTTTCCATTATTGAGTTAACATTTAGTTTAAAATTAGGAAGAAATAGTCAGTAGATATCACTTTCCAAAACTCATCCCATTTGCCGTAATTGAAAGTAAAGACAGAAAAGGAAGATTATGCAATACAACATCAAACAAGAAGAGATCTTTAATAGGAAGTATTTCTCTACAGAAATACTTACATAACATTTCAATTTCATTTCGATCCAAGAAATCATAACCTGAAGTATGTATCAATTTGAGTGCATTGTTATTATGCCCAATATTGCCCATAAATAAAACACCAGCCTGTAATCCCTTGGCTCTCTCAAGATACTGTAATTGAATTAATTAAGCCCATAGATAAAGTCTAGAATCCTGCTGGGATTATGACTGCTAATGAGTGGAAGTGATGCAATCTTATCAATTAATTAAGGATAAGCGTATGACACAGGAATTAGCATGGGTGGGCAGCTTAGCAACAGACCAGAGCACCTGTTTACAGGAATTGCACACTGAGTTCAAAGTAATTTGATTACTTATACTGTCTAAAGCCTTGCATGTCTTTTTTAGGGGTACTTGATGTTAAAAATTCACAAGGTGAATTAAGTTTATTTTAGAAAGTACATATTTAAGAGAAATGAAAAAATGATAAACATACTGTAAAGATGATTATTTTTCTTTTTTGGAAAGGTGTTTGACATTTTTTAGTAATAACTGTAGCAGGATATTGGATTCTGTTTGTTACTTTTACAGAGCTGCCCAGATTGCATGATTTTCTAAAGATTTTATAAGGAGAGGATTTTTTCAAAATGCTTTTCACAAGAATTCTGGCTGATACATGTTTAAATTTTAATGTTAAATATGACATGATCCCAGCACATAGTTTGCCAGGAGCAAAAAATTTGCACTTTCACAGAATCTTGCCTTAAAGATCTATAGACCATAAGCTTTGTTGCAAGCATAAAATAGCAGTTATTTCAATAAAGAAGTTACATAAAATTTTCTTGACCCTATTCCCTAAAATAGTAAAGTGTCACGTTAGATTTTGTGTAATTTCATTAATGTGCTTTAAGTGGTCCCATATTTGAAAAGAAAATGGAGGACGCGCTCTCTCGCTCTCTTAAATGTTGGACAACTTGTTTGATGTTTTCTGAAGCATGGAATAAAATGCATATTAAAGTATTGTTGGTGCAGAAAATGAGCAATTTATCAAGAGAAGTGTCAGGGGTTTCATCAGAACTCTGTATGCAAACTGAGCAGGGAGTCCATTTGATACAGTAGTATGATAGCTCCAATAGCTGTAGGAGACATTGGGTTAACACTAATACTCAGTGTTAAGCTTCATATAGACAGGCAGAATCTTTTCTGGACTGAGAAAAAGACAAAATTACAGTTGTATGTTTAAAAGAAGAAAAAGAGAAAAGAGGGAGAGACAAAGAAATAAAAACTGAAATAAAGGTTGATATTAAACTGTCTGGAGACAGCAAGGTCTGTTTGTGATCTGTGATCATAATATGACACAAGCGAGGCCTGTTTTTAGTTTTAAATAAAACTGCCTGAAAGCACCAGCAGGGCAGCATGTTCAACGAGTGTATGCATGCGTGAAACACGTTTTGATGAACTCTCACGCTTTATACACTATGGAGGTGATACAAAGAATTTGTAGTCATTTTTCAGTTTGTATGCCATTTTCAAAGCCTTTGTGTCATTAAGTATTTAAAAGGTATTGTATGATTTATATGGTCTATATATGTTAAGTTTGCTTACATATAGGGTGAAACCATTTGATTCAGATGATCATTATGGCTTAAAGAAATGAAAATTTTTATTTGTTAGAGCAAAACTCTCTGTTTAGATGAAGTAAGAAAACCAAGATGTAACTGAAATAGTGCTGCCTGTTATATAATGTTTCAATTACAGAAAAAGTTACCACTGATTTGTTAGCAGATCCTTTGCTATGATCTTGATGAATATTTGACCAGACAGGGATAATTCCACTCTGATCTCAGTCATTACACAAATTACATTGTGCTTGTTGAAATGGTATTTTTAGCTAGAATCAATTAGTTTATTTCTAACCCTATAAACAGTCTAAATAAGCATGATGACCCACTAGTGAAAATATGAAATAAGAGGGAATTTGTCTCAGTTCAATACAAATTGACTTGCTTTACTATATGTCTATTGATATAGAGTGTGGATAATTCAATTTTTACACACCATTCTCCGCAGTGTTTTATATTTAACAAATTTGCCATTAATATAAACATATGTACTTTTTGACATGAACCCAAACTTTAGAAAAACAGCCTTTAAATCATTATCTCGAAGTATGACTAAATTATGTAAGAAGACATGTACATATGGGAATATGATTTATTAGTTATTGCTTGAAATTAATGAATAATCACCATATTTGTCAGTGGTTGTCTGTATTGCCATTAACTCGACCAATATAGCTTAAAGAACAAAGACAGTGAAAGCCATTTGTATCCAGGTGCTTTTGTCTGATTAAGAGGGAATATCATCCACTTAACCAACATTTTTCTCTCCACAGTGACAGGAAACTATTGAGGTCTGGAGTGTACTTAGAAAGGCTTTTTATTTTAGTATTTGTGGTTAAAAGTGATCATGTGTGAAACAAAATCTTTATCTCTATGTCTTTGATGAGAATTCAAACACTTGTATGAAAAAATGTCACTTTTTGCAAAAAGTATACAGATTAAGAAATAATATATGGAGTTTGAAAGAGAGTTTGGTAAGGGGCCTTTTCAAATCTGTCTACATTGGCTGAAGTCTGTGTGGTCAGTCATATGTGATGAACATTTTCAAGTGTTTCTGACAGGTCTATTCTCAATGTGAAGACAGGATGTGTGGGTTCTCATCTTCTAGACATACTTGTAGGACCTGTGTCACCTTGGTGGGTCCAGCCTGTGTAATTATTCTTGGAAATTTCATGATTATCTCCATTCAGTGAGTTAGTACTTTTTCAGTGAGTAATTACTAGTTAGTAATATTTTACATGTCACTTACAATCAAGAAGTTTTATTATATCTCTGTGATGTGATGGAATAAATTTATGCTGTGCAATCAACCCATTGTCGTATGTTTGGCTCCCCTAGTGTAGAGTGGAAAGAGAATTTAAAGTTGGCAGTACTTTATGATATAACCTTCTACATACCCTAGGGAAATAAACTGCATTATGTCATGTGTAGAACTTAGCACCATCATCTGTGAATGCATTATTTGTTATTTACGTATTTTGGCGCAAAACTGCTGCAAACAAGCATGCTGTCACATAACATAATTGATGGAACTTGCACTTATTGTGCCGCAGCTAAACTGAACTGTTGAAAAACACTCTAATTTATTTGTCATTGGTCCAAACATCACCATAGTTATTATTTGTGAATGCATGTCAGAGCTGATGCATGTTAAAGGAGCTGTCCAGGAAATTTATTCAGCAAGTGCTGAAACCCTCCATTCGGGAGAATGAATCTGTATTAGTGTAGAAATTGTTTGTCCATCATCTTTTGAACTTATCTTTTGAGCTTACTTTGAATCCAAAATGAAAGAAAAAAAGAAAAATTAAGGTTGTTTGAATATGGGTGTGATAATTCAATAATATAAGTGTCTCAGAGTTAATGAAAATGTTGCACAGATAGAAAAACCCAGTTGTCGTGTATACTGTGGTATATATATGGAGAAAAAAATTGGAGAACAAAATGTGTCAACCACTAACTGTGTTGTGACACAGGAGAAGTATGTAAAGTGAGAGATGATGGAACTAAGTGAGCTAATTAACAACGCTCCCTACAGATGGAAAAGTGATGTCACAAGATTGTATTACGTCTAAGTTTTGTTCTTCAGGATGTTGAACAAAATGCATTTGTCGTAACGATAAAGGTGACAATTTTGTTGGGAATCCAGGCTTGAAATTGTTGCATGACTTCAAATAGGCTGTAGGTTTATGTGGTTAAGTTTGTGCACAATGCTCTGTTACTGGGACAGAAAATTAGAAAGTGTCAGAATTGGGGAGTTGGGAGGGGAGGGGAGAAAATGGACTTATAAGCAATGCTCTTTTACTTGTGCAAAACATTATGAATATGTTATTATATATGAAGAGAAAAATAAAAGCATAACAATATTTAATTGGATAAAATGAAAAAAAAGTTAACATATTATTTTCTGACCTTAGCTCTTCTCTTTTCACTTACTGTGTATTTTTATGAAATTATATCCACAAATATTTATTCAATTTTATTTAAACATTCCCTTTTTTCTTCCACAGATGGTTTGAATGAAGCCACAGCCACCTGTCAGCTCTCAGTGATGTTGGTGACAGAGGACATGTTGTTAAACAGCATCACTGTGCGTCTTAACGAGATGGACGAGACTGCCTTCCTCTCCCCTCTCTACGACTTCTTCATCAAAGCTCTTGGAACCATCATCCCAGCAGATATTCAGGATATCTTTATCATCAGTATACGAGATGACACTGACGTTCCTGAAAAAGTTCTCAATGTGAGCTTTTCTGTGAGGGAGAAAGTGTTGAACAGTCAGGACTATTTCTACAGTCAACAGTTTCTGAAGGAAAGAGTTTACCTACAGAGGAATCTACTGGCAAAGCTGTCAACCCTGGAAGTATGTGAATGTGAACTTTTTTTTATTGTTTTGTACATAAAATATATTTGCATTTGTCACGGGAAACTTAATGTACATGCCTATGTTTGGAAAAAAAGGGGCAGTAGGGATAAGACAATCAACAAACTTTAACTTTTCAGTGGTGGATAAATTTTGTGTTTGCATGCATGCATGTGTGCACATTTTCTGGCGTGCATGTGCTTTTGGGAAGGGTAGTGTTAGAGACTGGATTTGCTTGGAGGGTTTTACTGGCAGAATTCCATCTTTGAGTATATTTTTCTAAATTTTTTTATGAATAACTACCCTTGAGCAGTGTGTTGGAGAGATCCCAAGAACAAGGTTGTCATCTCAGTAGTATCTCCTCACACTGTTTAACAGACTGGTGTTAGTCAGTGTGTGTGTGTGCATGTGTGTGTGTGCGTGTGTGTGTGCATGCATGTGTGTGTGAAATTTGAGGTAAAAGATGCAAGAATCTGCTGCAAAACCTTAAAACAAAGCTGAGCACTCCAGATCTCTTTGACTCAAGAGCAAGGTCCAGGCCAAAAATAATCGAAATATAGAGTTGAAATTAATTCTGTGAGTCTCATGGATTGGTCATCTCTTTTTAAGATGAAGAAAAACTTAAAAGCCAATAGTCCTTGGTGACAGATTGTTAATCTGTCTGCACCTTAAACTTCTGTCGCCATTGGTCATTAGAACTTGTTGACCTCATATAAGACCACTGGTCAGCTAGTTACTGTGAATAATCCGAAAAAATTGCCAGCCTGATACCAAACCAGTTGCCTTAGACTGAATTGTAATATTGTTAACTGGTTAGTACCAAGTCAACTAACCATCCAAAACCTCTCCCCATTCACCTCTGTTCTTCATGCTGTACCACTATATCACTCAGGACTGAAGAGAGTTTGAAGTGCACTCTACTTCTCCAGTGTGGCCTGCCATTCAAACCAGCCATTATTTATTACCCTCAATCCAATTTCTTCACAGTCCTCTCCTCTATGCCCCCCTTCACAACTCTCCTTATCACAGCCCATTGAATGTAACACATTTTTATTCTAGTTCACTTGGTGTTTGGAAAGGTCTCCAATACACTGTATCTTATTCTTTGTTACATCAGGTATGTTTGATTCCACAGGGTTTGTTGAAGGTTTTTGTGTACTCCTAGATATGTGGGACTTAAAGCAAACCTGAACTACAATGGACTAGCTTGTTTTGCGTGATGGTTGAAATAAGTTGGTATGGTTTGATTGGTGGTGAGTTTTGTTGGCGGAGGACATTTATATCAACTGTGGTATTTCATACACCATTGATGGAATTCTTTTGATATTTACCCAGCAGTTTTGATATCTCTGTGGTTTGATTGTAAAATGACTGAAAACTGCTAGTTTTCAGGGGCAGATTGAGGCCGTCTTCTGAGTCTTCCGGAAGACGGTCAGATTTTCAAGTTTACATTGACGGGTATCTAATTTTTTTCTGTCGGAAGAGGGTCAAAAATGAAGGATGGATCAATAAAGATAATTTGGAAGACTGTCAGAAAATATGGTGGATCCGCCCCTGGTTTTGAATGTTCTCAAGAAAGCACTTAAAGGCTTTGAAAAACAATCTGAAAGAATCCTAGACCAAAATGTTGAAACTTCACAAATGAACAGGAGGGAAACAGCCCAGAGAAATACTGTGCACAAAATACCCCAAATAGCATCAAATTTTACCCTGAATTTTCTCTGCTTATCAGTGCTGTATACCCCACTGTAACTCATTGACTGTCGGTGCTTTGAGTTATGAGTCAATAAGTACTATGTTTACTGGAGATAGTAAACATCACAATATCTGGCCACTGCACAAGCAGTGTTTCACAAACATTTAGGAATATTACATGAAGCTATGAAAGACAGCAACTGTCTAATTTGCCTGAAGCTAGTGTCAGGCGAGTCTCAACCTAGCATCAGAATTGTTCAGTTTATCATTTTTTTTCAAGACCATGTCAAAGCAACTTGTTTGCACAGAGTACAGCTCATATCGAATATTATCATGCTTTGCGTAAGGCGAAGGCTGAATTTTTCTGACATTCAGGTCATTTTATTCAGTGCAGCACTCTCTGTCTGGGATTAAAGTTGGCAAAAGTGGAACAGTTTTTTAAGCTAAACTAGAAAATGTTGCTGTTTGAAATTTACATGGTGAATAGAAAATTGCAGTTTGGATTAAGGGCAGTAAATTCGATAGCGCATTTTTTTCATAGTAGGCTTGTGAATGGTACAGTTTGGTGGGTAAAGTTGAGATAATTTGGGAAGTTCTGGTTAAGAAAAAAATATTTGAGTTTACACCCCTCCAGGCCAAGCCAAAACTTTGTCAACACATTAAGTTTGTCTTTGCCAGGAGGGTAATGTGACACTGCATGATACATGCTTCCACTGCAGATGTTCTGACAGCAATGGGTCACATCTGCCAGCTTGCACTTAAGTTTTTCTTACCTGGAGGGCTTACTCAGAAACCTCAGGCCTGTTCACATGAGAACCAATTTGGACCGAGAATCAGTCTTTCTTGTGTGATCACACAACCAGGGATTTGGAAGTCTGAGGGACTCTTTGTGTGGAGGTTGGAATTACAAACACTATTTTAATAGTGTTTATAATTACCACTTATTATAAATTATAATGTCTTAAAAGAAATTTAAACTACTTTAAAATCTGTCTGGTGTTTGACAATTGAAGTTCTACTTATGGTCTGAATGCATCGTGGCATTTTCACTCTCATTGGCTGAACCATCACCTAAAGTTAGGGTGCTCCCTTTTCATTACACAATCCATCATCTTGAGTGCATAACACTGACTTTTTACTCAAAACATTTGCTGTGGGTTTAAACATTTACTTTGTCCATTGTGATCTAGACCACAAACTGAGCAGACGGTGTTTGGTATTTATGTAGGAAACTGCTACCAGGGGGCACCAGTCACAACACACTTTCAAGACAGGTGTCAGCGATGGTGTGTGTTTCCCTAGTACCCCAGGGGTTATTATTTTAATCCAAGTTTAATGGCAAACACAAGCAGAACAACTGCTCCTGCTGTCTGTGCCTTTGCCATGGCTAATTCAGCAGTAAATTGATGGAAGTCACTGAATTCAGGTGGAAAAGAAAATGATACCCAGTGGCCTGACTGTAAATCTACTTGATCAAGATAATAAATAATGTTCTTTTGGCATTCAGTTCTCTTTTTGATGTTACAAGTGTTTTAGATAGCTTACTTAATCATGTGAAAAGATAGCGGTTTGTGATTAATTTTTCCAGGAATTTTTTAGTTGTCATGTTGATGTTTGTGTAGCAATTATACACTGCTCTTTAATGATGGAAAAAAACAAGTGAAGGCTTGTGTTTGGAAGTTTATGTTCTATAGTAATTATGTTAAAAGAACAAATAGTTAAGTAAAAACAAAATATGACTTCAAAAAAGTGGAAATAAAAAAATAATTATATTTGTAGTTGTAAGCTTTGATGACTTGGTCAAAATATTGTTTTCTTATTTTTACTTTATTAAATAACCATTAATTCAAAATTTTCTATTTCATTACAATTTTTACCTTCAGGTTCTTCCTTTTGATGATAACATCTGTGTGCGTGAGCCCTGCCTCAACTATGAAGAATGCATCGATATCCTGAAGTTCGGCAATGCGTCTGGTTTCCTCAGCTCTCCCACCATGTTGTTCCGTCCCATATATCCCATTGAAGGGTCAAAGTGCATCTGCCCGGCTGGATTCACAGGTTGGGGTTTGTTAGACTGATCTCTTATTGGGCTAGAATTTCACTTCACAGCCCCATAAATTTCTCTCCACATCTCTACAGCAGGGGAGTTTCATCAGATTGATTCTGTTTTATTTGCTTATAATTTTGCTACAAATACCACTTTAATATTTAAAAGAAAATAAACAGACTCTGTTGCATTAAGCCATGTAAACATTGTGGGCTTTTTGTTGAATGATGGACTTTTAGAAGCTATTCAGATTATTAGATGCAGTGTTTTTCACATGTGTTAGTGTAATGAAACAAAAAATAATGATAAAAGTTTGACTGACCTTTCATGTTGCACAGGTGTCATCTGCCGTTCCAAGTGTCAATTTGACTTTTGCATGACAATTTGTAGTCGCATAGAGCATTGGTATTTGCTGAAAAACATCTGCTGGACATTTCTTTTTGAAAATGAAGCTCAGAAACTCAGCTTGAGTTTTAATTATAATATATGCCTTGTATTCCTTATATTATGTAATATCGCAAGAGATTTATGATAAAAACAGGTTTGTTGAGAACTAGATGTACAAGTTAAATGACAGGCTATCTAATCTACATAGATTTCAACTATTTTATATATACTTACTACATGTATTGGAAAATGTGTAAGAAATGTTATTAAAATTTATTTCCTTAGTATGTTGTGAAATTTTATTTCATTAGGTTATTAGTTAAAACAAATTTGTTTTAATTTCTGTCCATTTTTAGGAATGAACGTGGAATATGAATGCGACACAGAAGTGAACCTGTGCTACTCCAACCCCTGTCAGAACAATGGAACTTGCTTACGACACGAGGGCGGCTACACATGCATTTGTCTTACAGGGTTCACAGGTGAGTCAATCTTTGTTTTGTATTGGCAGTAATTCTGAGATCCATCATTAGATTTTGAAGATAGGGGCCGTCTTACACACATTACACAATACAACATCACTGTATGTTTGTTGCTCATTTTATCAGCCCAACATGATAGCAACAGGATGTTATACCATGTAATTACATGGCAATTTAAGTTGGGACTGTGTTATTTTCTTTCCCTAATGACAACTCGATTATTTTTCCATAAGCAATATGTGGTTAGACGATGGCATTACATGGCTTGTTTTATCATGTCACACATTTTACTACCAGCTCAATTAAAAATCACTTTGCTTTAATGTGCTGATTGCAGATTAATCATTATAAGTATAGAACAAGGTCCAGAATAACTATTTTGTATCTGAGTATTAGAGTAGGGATTTTTGTTGCGTTTATAAAAGAACCTGCTGATATCGTCTTTAGTCTAAACCTAAATAAAAGTTACCAGGAGAGGGATTTTTTGATAAAAGATGGAAGTTTGATAAATAAAATTTGTAAATAATTAATTTATTTATAATCAGTAATTTGTAAAGTCTTATAGCTTTTAATCATTTTAATTGGAAAATGGTTATTTAGATTAACAAAAAGGTAAAAAGAAAAACCATACCAGCTTGGTCCCATTTGAGGTTTATGCAGTTTTATAAAAGCATATTGGTTATTGCATTTTAATAAATTTAAACAAAATGAAAACATTTCAGTTATTTCAATTTTCTAATTCTACAATGGTTATTTAGATTAACAAAAAGGTAAAAAGAAAAACCATACCAGCTTGGTCCCATTTGAGGTTTATGCAGTTTTATAAAAGCATATTGGTTATTGCATTTTAATAAATTTAAACAAAATGAAAACATTTCAGTTATTTCAATTTTCTAATTCTACAAGATAATGCATTTATAGTCTTTGTAAAATTTGGAAAATGAGATCATTTTGGATCTAAATAGGGAGTAATTTCAGTAACACACTTTCTCTAATGCGTAGGTTCACTTTAGATTAGTAAATTGGTCCCAAACATCTCTGTATCTGCATTAACCATATACACCTTGGGTAATGTGATTATTATGTCCTCACTGTTTAGACGGGGTGAGGTGACATGGAACCATTTAGATCTATTATCTCTAAACATACAGCTGCAGAGGGACTTTCTAATGTTGTTGTAACATCAGCGGTGAAGTGTTTACATCATGTCATGAAAATATTTGGGGTGTCCGATATCTGATATGTATACAGTTTGACAGTTAAAATGATTAAATTGCTCAGTAATGATGGGGAATTTAAAGGATAAGTTGCCTAACACCCTTGTTGTCAACATCCCTGCACGCTATATGATATACTGGCTTTCCATTTCTTTCTTCTATCTGAACATAACACTGAATACTTTTACTTCAAGGTTATAGTGGACTTTCAATTTGAGGATCATTTTCAACACCTTATTTCAAATTTATAACAAAGTAATTATTTAGTATGTCACAGGGTTATAGTTTCTACACTGCTAAACCACTGGCATTAATGTTAATTAATTGTTAAACACCCTTGTAATTGGTAGCCATTATGCATATGAATTTGTGCCCCAAAGGCTGCTGAAATATTGTAAAGTTCTGGATTAAAAACTGCATAAATATGCTAATATGACTTCAGAAATGCCAGATATTTCACCATTTATACCAAGTTAATCATTGATACAGTTCAAGTATTTTGTTTAACTACAATTATCTGGTCGACTGGAAGAAATTTAATCCTGAACAAGTGAAACATAACATGACATTTACTGTTAAGACTTGGTGAGAATAACCAAAAAGTTAGAGATATACCAGATTACTTAATGACCATCAGAACTGAAGCAATTTAATGTTAAGATTCAAATAATTTGTGTTTTTTCATCCTCAATATCACCATGCAACAGCTTTGCTTAGATTCGTTTCCCAAATAACGATGGGAAAATTTGTAATTATATTTTCCCCAGATGCTCTAAATCTCCCTTCAGGTTGACTTGCTCTCAAGGATAATGACAGTGATTGTAATCCCTGAGAGAGCTGAATTAATAAAGTAGATGTTGATAGGTGCCACCAGCACAGCCAATGGTAGATAATGCAAATAAGTTTTCTTTATTGAAAGCTGGATTTAGGCCTCGAAATTAATGGGAACAATGCTATTTTAGTAGTAACAATAGTTCTCTCTCTCTCTTGCTCTCTCTCTGTTTCTCTCTTTCTCTCTCTCTCTCTCTCTCTCTCTCTCTGCCCTTGGTACCAGTGGCCCTTCTCTGTTCGGATCTTATCATTTGTACAAAATCATTTGGTCCATTCAAATGAATGATGTGTATTTCATCCTGGGCTATTCAGCCAGTTATCAGTTTCAGTATTGATTTTTGATTCCTACTAAGTGGACTGGTTTGATTGCCTGGCACATACGACTACATCAGACAGCATTTAATCATCGCTGTACATGACAGAGGCAGACATTTTGATTGCCGACAGATTCTCATTTGCACAAACATGGCAACTTGAGCAATTCTGGCGCTTGAAAAGGGAGGCGGGAAGGGGGATACCACAGAGGCAGACATTTTGATCAAGGACAGATTCTCCTTTGCTCAGGCATAAAAATATGGCAGTTCCTAACTATTGATAATGTTGAGAAGGTTTATGTGTGTGTGTAAGAGAGAGGGGAGTTAATGAAAAAAGAAAATCTTTTTTTTTTTGTCAGATACCCCTTGCACACAAGCATGACAACATTTTTCTAATTTTCTAATGCTGGGTCATAGGAATTGAGTTGGGGGAGGAGGGGGGGGGGGACAACAGAGAGATGATACCCTTTAAAATCACACTTACATATAACCAAGACAACTACTTTGAATAGGGTAGTGGTGAAGGTGGGAGGGCAGACATTGGCAAAGGATTGTCTGTTTGCAGACAGATTTGAACTCGCACTCAAACATGGAACCTGTGGTATTCCCCTGATGCTAGAAATGAGAGGGGATGATATGGCAGGTCAGAGACATTCTCTTTATGGACAGATAATCATTTGCACACAAACATGGCAACAGCAACCTCTCAGCATTCCCTGTATCCATACACCAGCCAGGTATTTTGATTGCTGACAATAATTCCCATCTCTGTCAAACAGCAAACACTCCATATCTTGGCTACTTGGAGAGAGGGCTATGTGCGGGCCCATGTTAAGCCTTCTGTAGTTTAGCAGACACTCACTATCTTTGGACTTTTGTTGTGCCTTGACCTTGTAGACGGCTTTTTGTCACTTTGGGAAATACCTGTTTTGTGTGCTTTTTAAAGTTGCTTAAACATTTATCATGATTTTTTGTTGAAAATTCATTGCAAATAAAAATACACATATCAATACTTCTAATACACCAAATGTGAAGTTGAATATGACAAAAAAGATTGGAAAAATATTATCAAAAGTAAGCTACTGACTTTAGAAAAAAAAAACACTCGAGATTTTCAAATTGAATTATGAATGGATAAGGTATAAGTTATTTGTTTGATATATTATTTCTTGATGATTGCAGTACTTTTCTAACAAAACCAACATGTTGTATTTGACACATCTCTCAGATACAGATTTTTTATGATATTAAACTTATCCTTATTGACATTTCCTTTTCTTGAATAAGAGGATAACGCTAAAGCAATCCATTATAACCATTGCTATTTATGAATAATATGGAGTCGCTTGCAGCATTTCTGTGCAAGATTACATTAAGAAAATCATTGTTTAAATAAGAGATATTGGCTATATGGTATGGCTTCCAAAACACACAGAAGCTGGTTAAAAGAGGAAGTAATACACGGAAATGGGCCTCTTAAAATCCATTGTGAGGCTCACTGGCAAATAAAGACCCACTTTAGAGCAGTAAACGTGTGCTTTTCAAGACGTAATTCTGCCAAAACAATTCTAGAATTAATTGCTTTGTCTGTGGTCTCTGTATTAATCAATGTGGCGTCTCTTGGAAGTGGGTTTTTGTTTGATGAATTATGCAGGTCGCTTCTATTACAGCTTATGTGTATTATTATACATCTTTACACAGATGCGCATACATGGCTTGCTGTTTATGTGCTTTATTTTACATTTTTTAGCATGCACTCATGCATGCACACTTATTCACACACATAGTAGCGATAATCCAATTTGCTTCTTTTTTTCATCCATATTCCCTTATTATAAATGTGACCATTCTTCCCACTGATTTATTATTATTTTATGCATAACATCTTTATAGAGAAAAAAAAAATACTAGAAAGCTCAGCAATTTTCCTTTTGTCACTTAGCTATACCCTTCTAAAACTGCTAAGAAAATTGTGATCTATGAACCTGTTTTTTAGTATAAATTTCCCATTTTTACTGTCATAAGTGTAAATACGCCAGGCTCTCTCAGTTATTAGTAGGCAACTGATTCAAAAACTAAAAGTTTAAAATTCAATAATGGATTGTAACTCTGGTCGGTTTGGGGTTTTGGTATATCTTAACTATTAATGAAAAAGTGTTGAAATTTGTAGGAAAATAACTTTTTTGCCACTATGAAGATCTAATGCTCTTTGTGTCCCTTGAAAATAAAACGATTATTTTGTCATCTACAGGCCGCAGCTGTGAGACGGATATGAAGTACACGAAGTATCCCTCAGGCTGTCCAGCAGAGGTATCTCATGTCTGCAAACCCCCATCTAACTGCCAGACCCTGATTAAGGGGGGTTTCCGCTGTGATGGCTGTCCACAGGAGGAGTACCATAATGCATTCTGTGAGATGACAACACGCAGCTTTGCCAAGGGGTCGTTCCTCATGTTTCCATCCATGAAGAGGAGACACAGGTTCAAAATACAGCTCAGGTGAGTAGGACGGATTGATCAGATTTTAGATTTTATCATTTGATAAAAAATAATAAAGAATTCTTTTATCACAAACTAAGTTCACTGATCAGAATTGTATAATTAATGGTTGAGAAGGATTTTTTCTTCTGATATGCTTTGTCTTGAAATTTAAAAATCTCCCATCCCCCTCCCAAACAAACAAAAAAAAGGTTTGAAAATGAAAAATTTGTATCAAATCTACAGTATGTAACATCCTCTGTCCTGCTTGGAGTAAAATGCTCTGCCATGGCTGATGTTCTAAACATCTATTGACTGGCCTTTAGTACTGGACTGTAAAATGCTTCTCTTTGCTGTCCCCGAAGGCTTTGTTGTAATCTATTTAGAAAACTACTCTGTCTGGAGGGACGCGCCACATTTGGAGACTTCTGACCCTGGAAAACCTCAAACAGCTTTGCTTCAGGAAGCAATAATGAAAACAAGATTAGATATCTGTGTATAATTGATAATTTTGTCCTGAAAAATAGTTTCTTTTGCAAGTGGCAACTGGAATATTTATTAGAATTGGTTTTTGTTAGAAAAAGTATGAGAATATTTCTTTAAAAGAATTTATTTACACACATAGAAACATGCACAGAAGATTAATAGAATTGAAATATATCAATGGAAACCCAGGAGGAATTTTCTTCAAATTCTACTCAAGTAGTAACTAATGGTTTGCGTTAAAGAATTATTCTTAAGAGACAATTCTTTCAAGAGGGGCTGGAATTGCAGTATCACACGTCTTGATACATCCAGCAAGTTATTGATGTTAAAGTGTGCTTCATATCTTCCTCAGATAACTTGTGACACAATGCTTTCCAAGGGGACTTTTGAATGATGAGCCTTGGATGGAGAGATAGGCAATTACTTAGTGGGGTGACTCATCTCTCACTCTGCTTCTGAGAATATTGATGCTTCATCATCAAACACTGGAGAGAGAGACTGAGTGATAGAGTGAGGGGTGGAAGTCAAAATAGGGGAGGGGAAAATATGAAAGGGATGGTGTGAGAAAGGAGGTAGGAATGCAAAAATAAGAGGACCTGGAAGGAGGAGTAAATGCTTTTGTGTAATAAACATATTCTACCTTCTATTGTGGAAGAAAAAGGAAAGTATCTGATTTTATTTTATTTTATTATTTATTTATTCATTTATTTTTGCAAAAATTCCCATAGATCTGACTGAATTTATATGATATTTGGTTGTGTGAATAAAAGAAAAGACATCCTAGGGAGGTCAGAGCACTATTTTGAAGATAGTATTAAGTATTTAATAGTGTTAATTACTGTTGGTGGAGCAGAAAGTGTTTCTGTTCAAACCCAAAGGTCATGAAATGAACTTCAATGTTCTTAGTAACTTCATGGTTACAGTGTTGTATAGTTTTTTTAATCAACACCTAAAATTAGGGCCTTTGTTTTCAATATTTTGGCTTCTCTTGGTTACCTTCTTCTGATGTGGCAAAATTCAATATTAATATCATAATCAGGTCATTGTTCTCAAGCTGTAGATTAATTTTTATGGAAAATATCATTTCTATTAATGAAGAAATGTTTAGAATATTTTTCTCTGCGTGATTAAAAAAAATGTGTATGTGCAGAACAAGCATGGTTTTACTGAAAGTGCCAGTTGAGGAGACAATTTCTGCATTTAAATTTGTAAGCACGCATATGCTCACAGCAGTCTGCAAGAAATATGTTCTTACTCATTCACGCAACTGTCTAGAAATGTGTGTTGATTGCATTAGAGATATCTACCCAGCATAGGAAGGTTAGTCATACTTACATGATGGCAAGAATCCTAAGGAAAAAACTCGAAATATATCCCAGAGGGATTTGAAGAAATGTTAACTGTTACCTGACAAGTCCTTAGTTGTCTGTTATTCAATATGCCACAGAATGTTGGTGTATGAGTTATGACGTTGTACAAAATTGGGTATAAAAGTGTTTGTTACTTCTGTTATAAAGCCACACCAAGGCATGGAGGAGATATCAAATAGTTGATGGCCTGGATCTAGTTAACAATTTGTGGTTTCTTACATCTGAATTTGTTACTGATTGTTATGTATTGGCTGCTATCCATTTTCTTCATTATAAGAAAGAATGAAAAAAAAGACGGGCATATTAGTCTTTTAAAAGAATTGAGATTCCTTGCTGGTGATTGTGGCTGTTTTAAAGAAGCCAAAAAATGCCTTCAGTCTTTATCTTCTCCTTGTCTAGCAGACAGTGCAGATAGAGAGGCATGCCTCTGCCAAATTGTTACATGCCTAAGTAACAGATTTGAAAAAAAAAACACTTGTAGGTTTCTTTTTTGTTTATTCTTCGTTATTTTATCCCTAAAGGCTGAGCTGTGGGGTATCGCATTATCTCACAGCCTGAGTAACATAAAAATTAACCCCAGAATGGTATCCATGTTCTTTTGTTATACTATAAATGATAAGGCTCTCAGAAAGGATACTCATATTTGCCTTTTGGAAATACACGTTTAGGCCCTCAATGCTGATAGGCCATGATCCATGGGGTGGATACTTGAAGATAAAGATGATACTAAAAGATGTTTTCTAAAGACAAATCTCACAAGTTCAATAATTCCCAAAGGTTGAGGAGTAAATGCTATGATTGAAATCTATAAAAAGTAAATTGGTTTTTCTGCCTGTCTGGCCTGGTTAGGGCGGTGTGAGAGAGAAGGCAAGATCCCATGCAGAGCTCTGTGTAGAGATCCTTGTTAAGGAATTGGTTTGACATACACACAGCATACCTTCTCATTGATGAACAAATAGTCTCTCTGAGGAGAAATTTCTGCATATTTATGGGCCTTGATCACACATCTGTTTGTTGGGATTACAATAATGTACACTTGAGAGAGAGAGAGAGAGAGAGCAAAAGAGAGATGGGTAGAGGAAGATAGGGAAAAGACCACTACTACATCTACAACTTATATTAATAGATCTGATTATTTGACATTAATGTCAATGCATTTCTCATAGACCCATGCACTAGTACAAGTATTGGCACAGAACTTGGTAAACAGTGATAGAAAGTGACTTAATTATCACCTCCACGGTTGATGCCCTCCAGTCAGAAAAACTTCTCTCAGTGAGTGTCTGGTTCTGGCTCCAGAAGTTTTACCTTCTCAGAATTGATTAAAGAACCAGCCACAGTTAACCTTAGTTGTTGCCTCACAGCAAGAAAAGTGAATGTCTGGATTGCTCACAGTGTGATATGTGTTGAAAATGTTGTCTAAGGGTACATTCCCAATGAAATTATTGTTTCATATAGATCGATCCAACTCCTCGGGACTCTTGCTGAATGCAATCAGATTAATTGAACAACAGGCCTTCTAAGGCATATAGGAGATGATTAACTTTCATTTGCATTCAAAACGAAGCAAAAAAGCACATGCACATGAAAGGTAATCACCCCCTAGCTGCTTGAGGGGACGTGTCATTCAGTTAATCTGATTGGATTCAGCAAGAGTCGATGCAGAGTTGGATCAATCTACATAGAACCATGCTTTCATTGGAAATGCGCCATGTAAGGAAAATTGTATGCCATGTGCAGTAATGTATTTACTATGCTTGAAAAAAGATTATATTTTTCGCTCATTAAATGCATTGATGGATGGTTTTATGTCTATTACATTACAGTTTCCTATTTTGTGTTAATATGATATTTCTATTTAAAGCCAATACATTTTTATTTTGAATGAAAGCATTTTTTCTTTTGCTGCACTCCTTTTATGGCATACGTACATATACACACATGTAATTGATGTGAGATTCAGGATTACCTTTCATGCCTGATATTGTAAAATTTTCAAATAGTCAACCAGTTTCTTATTCTTTGACATAGGTTTCTTTCAAGAAATGGCTTGCATTAAGAATTCAGAGCACATTTGAAACATACAGAGTTTCAACCAGGTGTAAAACTGCAAAGGCACTGGCATTCATTGAAGATGGATAATTGTTCCCCTAATAACACTTCTTCAAATAGTTTGCCTTCTTTAAGTAATTGACTTGCATGACAAATATATTAGATAGTTGTTCGAGGATTGATACCAAAGAGGAGAGATACTCGCCTCCATTGATAGCACTTTTCAAATATTTTTTTCTTTCTGAAAGAATTGACCCATATAACAAATAGATCAGACTTTTGTTGAAGAATTTTATCAGCTGATGTGAAAAGAGAGGACAAAAGAAGCTGTTAGCTTTGCTTTGGTGACTGCTTTTGAATTGAGCAAAGTTTGGCGTGTGACAGAGTGGTCTATTATACTTTGCTGGATTATTAGGTTAAGTGCTGGGGCAGAGGATGATTGGATTAGACAAAAAATGAAAAAGAAGAAAAGTTTTTCAGCTCACTCTTTAACTTACCTTGTTTGTGCCTGTGATCAAATATACTCTATATTTTTTATCTTGTAAAGTCTGATGGCATCTTTTTCAAACAATTAAGGCTTTTGTGTTACTCCTTTGAATATTTCTACATAATGATGCAGTTAAAGATGGGTTTTTGTTATCAAAATTTTTGTGACTTTGTTGGGCTTTTCTTCTTATTGTTAGAAACAATGCAGCATCCAAATAAAAGACTAGAAAATCAATAAGATTCTGTATCTCTGTATTTCAGTTTTGCCACACGTCAGAAGAATGCCCTGTTACTTTACAATGGCCGCTATAACGGGCAGCACGACTTCATTTCCCTGGAGATAGTAGATGCTCAAGTTCGCTTCATGTTCTCCTTGGGTTCTCGCTCGACACAGGTGACGGCTCATGTTGATGGAGGTGTCAATGACGGGAACTGGCATCAGGTCACAGTGGAATACCTGAACAGGGTTAGTATACTTGTAACTATGACAATAGCTATGACAGCGACAGTACTGACAATGATTACAATATTTATTACCACAGCAGCATTGACAAACACAACAACATTAAATTTTTTTTAATCAAATTTTTTGTTTGAACATATAAGTGTTGATCTTATTAAGATTTTTTTTTTCATAAATTGATTATTGCTGATAATGCCAGATTTGCTGGGAAAATTAGAAATTAGTAGTACAAATGGGCACCTGTTTTATCCTGTTTACACCACAAATTTGAAATATAGAAGTGGAATGAAGTGGACCTTATGTCAGTTAACTAACCAGTCCCAGTATTAATTATGTGCAATTTTCTTCAATACATAAAAGGGTATGTTTAACTGAGGTATAAGGTTTTGCCTGGGAGCATAAGACAAAAGATAAACAGTAAAAGTTGCTTAAGACTAAATGTGAAAAACAAAGCATCTAAATCACTTAGGTGAGTCAAAAATCACGTATGATATCATAACAAAATGGATGAGTTGATGGGAAAGCCAACAAAGATGAAGACAACAGCAAGAGCACTGCAAAAGGAATGGAAGGGGGAAGAACAGAAGTTGCAAATGCAGCATGCATAGTGTTGAGGAGTGTCAATCAGTAGGTGGATGGGATTGAAATGGAACTTAAGCTACTGCATCTCATGCTAAAATGGTGACCATTGAGAAGAATGCTTTAAAAGAAAAGATGCACCTAATGGAGGAAATGCGCAAGAAATGGAAACTCCATACACCACAGCTGTTTGAATTGTTTACATCATTGTTAGGCACACTAACAGGTCTATATAGCCACATGTGGCATGTCACAAAAATACCTGAAATGTCACAGTTGTGAGAGAAACAGTTCTAAAAGATGTATACCCTTGTAATACTGGGTTCAAAAAGTTAACAGATTTTTTAAAATACCACAGCACTGAATATTTTCAATGAAAAGTATGTAATAGACGGCATATTGTTGTCAGTTAAACAGACAACAGCGACAGGTTTGAAAGTACAATTTGGAAGACAAATCCTTTTTTTCCAGCTAGCACCTGGACTTGACAAAGTAACGAGAAAATTTTCATCATAATATTAATGGCAGTATTTTTGTTGGTCAAATTTGATTAATGCGAACCCAGTATTATATCTCTGTATTTTCCCCTGAGAAAAACCTATCCTATCCAACACAACAGTAACTCCACACTAATGATCATAGTTACAGTGCTTGCTCAATGAATTCAAACAACATAATTTAATTAAATGTTTTTTATTACAATTTATCCATGCTGATTCAAAAGTTTTCACATATTGAAGTAAGTGCATTTTTTATTATGTCCAAATGGAATGAAATTTGAAAAAGGTAAAACAATTTTAAGACTGATGCATTTGAAAATTTGAGTAATTTTTGTATTAAGCCCTCTTGATGATTTATGAACTACTTCTTATCCCTTTCCATGTTGAAGTGGAAATTCAGTCTCCATTGCATTAGTGTGTCCCCAAGGCTGTGTTTAGAATCTTATTTGACAAAATTAGACCCTAACTAACAAGATTTAGCCAATTTAACTTGGTCAAACTGAGGTTGGTAGCCAATTTATTGGAATAATACGGAACTTGAAATAAACATGGCTTGATTAAGCTCAAAATCCCTGGAATCCGTTCAGTTTTAATGATCTGTTGTGTGTGTTAGAGGCTTGTATCCAGTTAATCAGTTGTTTCCTGGTAACATAGTCACTAACATTTCTGCTGTTTGGTCAAATTGAAATAGAAACTGTTGAAATAAAATAGTCCAAAGCTTACACTATTTAAAAAAGTGAAATTTTATGCTCCCTCTCTCTCTCTCTCTCTCTCTCTTTCTCTCTCTCTCTCTCTCTCTCTCACACACATTATGCATGGTCAGAGAAAGAACAATATTCAGTATAGAGATACATGCATTTATTTTTCAAGCAGTCACCAAATAGTAATAAAAGTACAGTCGCTTGCATTTTATGATTAAACTATGATGTTAGAGATTTTAATTACTTTACAGTTTCTTCAAATTCTCTTTGTTGCGGTCATACTAGCCACACTTACTTTAAAATGTATTGTTGTTGAATTGTTTTCTTCATTATTCTGAACACCCTAAAAAGTAGCCAACTAACTAGAGGTAATATTCTGTATACATACTTGAATCTTGAGATGGTCCTGTCTGTGGGCACCCTTATTTTCATCATTCATGTCCGTCCCAATTTGCCTTTAAGAGGAGTTCCCAGATTCTAGCATTATTTTTGGTATAATAATAATAATTATAATTTTTATAAACTTTTTTGGTGCATCAAGCATTATTCTGTAACTAAAGGTTTTTGCAAGTGTGGCTGTCGCATGAAGAAGAGTAAAGATGGTTTTCTGTTTTTTACAATCTTGCCTGCTGAACTGAAGAGAAATTCTATTTTACACCATTAGTAAAGGCATATCAGGCTGGGCACATGAGACATACAATGTTGAACAGGAGTCCCATTACAGTTGTGAAGCTGGTACAGGCATAGTAGGATGGGTAGAAGTATCTCCTTGCTTGGTGAAGCTAACAGATGACTTACATACTTGAATGTCAGTTGTGTAGGAAGGAAAAGCTAAAGAAGATGCAGCATGTTTGATGGCAGTGGCAAAGGAATGTGTAGCAGAACTTTATCTGTCTTAGAACTGCTTCAGAACCTTGTACACATACATCTCACCATCAAGCTGATCGTTGTATCTTGTGTGACGTTTAGACAAGAGCTTCACCTTCTTGTCTGCTTCAATCTGGGGCAGCTTCTCAGGAAACCCACAAACTGGATCTTGTGCGCAGTCTTCACGCAATAGAAAAATGATGAGACCATCTGGTTTGGTCAGACGGATGATTTCGTCAATGGGGTCTGCTCCAATATGGCCGAACACTCCACCAACCACCACAACATTGTATTGATTGGAAGGCAGTTGAGTTGGCTCCTGTCCACTAAGAACATCGAGGTACAAGTTGTTGTAAATACCCTTCTCTTGGGCTTGCTGAAGCATCGCAGGGCAGTTGTCCAAAGCATCCAGGTTGGTATAGCCCATTTTCTGGAGAACCTCTCCAATCAAACCTGTTCCAGCTCCTGCGTCCAGGATGCGGGCGGCCTTGTCACTCTCCCACATGGCCAGAGTGGTAGAAACCTCTACAGGAACAACATACCCAAATGCCCTGATGTCAGCCTCATATTTGCTTGCCCAAGAAGTGTAGAATTCTTTGGTAGTGTTGGGGTCAGTGTTTCTACCAAGAGTGGAAAGAACTTCTTCATAGCTTGAAAAGTTGCTCATCTTTTTTTAAATGTCCAAAGATTTCAATCTTCAGTCAACTGAATTTCTTGAATATGTAACACCTAAAAAAAGTATTGTGTTCCTCATCAGGGTTCTCTCACAAGGGATGATGAATATGATTTTTTTATTGCGATATTGATTAAGGCCATTTATCTGTCAACATGTTTTTTAAGTTTAAGCTGCTTTCAGAACAGCAGACTTATTAGTCCACGGATCAAATATAGCAAAATACTGAAAAACTTGCCATCTAATCCCCTAATAGACAATGAATAGATTCCCCATGGGAATTATGCAACAAGGAGGGGGAACTCTAATACAACCCTTTGCGTCATGTTCATAATTACTAGTAAGAGTCAGTGGCCCATTTTGACAATTTTAAGGTAATTCTGTGTGCATATCATCAATATGAAATATGTGAATCCTGCTTATTTTAGGCTGCATATGTTTCCAAGAAGATTTTTAAGCATTCCTTTACTAACATGTTTGCTCTTTTAGCTCATTGTAGTATTTATAATACTAAAAGGTACTTTTAGGTGTTCTAAGTTTTCTACAATGAATGTTTATTTAAACTTTCTAGCATTCTCAATAGATTAAACTTTTAGGTTTTGGTATTTTTAGATTTGTTTGCATATTCAGTTTAGCTGTAATTTTGAGTCAAGGAATGTATATTTATTACCTTCAACATGCCTCCAGATATGGCAGTTATCTTTCTCTTTTTTTGTTGAAATATTTTTAGACTTTCTTTAAAACAAACAAAAAAATCATCACTGTTTGTCTGGTTGTGAACACAATCAATGTATAAACTCCCTTAGATGCTAAACCCAGTAGGAAAGCAGCAAATTTGAAGTACTTCTATTTTGTTCTTGTCCTTGCTCAGTTGGAGAATCTAACATCGGTGAGTTCTCTTCTGTGCACCACAATTGTCTTGTTTTCTGTTTTTCCATGCATACATCGTATAGATGGAGTTTAGCGACCTTAATTTGGTGAGCACCAAGGATGCCAGTTTGAACTATGAAATTTTTGTTCACAAAGCTTCAATATGTTACCCTTGATTTCCATTTTGATGTTTTCAGTTTATTTTATGATTACTGAAAAAATGTTGACATTTGAGACCATGGCATATAAAAAAAGAGAGAGGGGTATAAAAATAGATAAAGTAAGAATAATTAACTGTGATAATTTCTGAGATAATTGACAATTTCTGAGATAGAATTGAATTTATCTCTTGGTCTTATAATGTTTGAAATCATGACTTTTCAAGGTATATATATGTGATATTTGATATTTGATTAGGTCAGCTCAGTTGTCAGCATTTTCTTTCAGTAAGAGGAAGTTAATTTGTCATTTTGCCCCTTCCCCCCCCCCCCCATAGTCTCCCTTGTCAGCTGCATAAATCCTTACACCAGGTCTCTGCACAAAAATCCTACAGTCTGCACAATATTGGTACGAAGATAAGCTCAATTCATAAAAATAATTGTAGTTACCATGTGCACAATATGTGCATTAGAACTGAAGTGTCAGAAAAATGCACAATTCTTTAACAAACTTAGTACACACAATTTTAGTGTCACTTGCTGCTTTTGAAACTCACAAAACCTAGCACTTATGTATTGTAAACTTTTTGTTAACTCCTTTCATCTTGTTTTGTATGTGTATTGTTTTGCCCCTTTCAGGACCAAGTTTTTACCCTTTCAGCTTTTATGGATGCTACTAGAACATGCAGGCTTTGTGTTAGTGTCAACCCCACCTTACAGAGTGACAAATTTATTGATTGATTTTTATGACGTAAACCTGACTTTGACATATGTTGCTTATGTGGAATGTTGTCTGTAGTATGCCCTCTTTATTATGTGGTTCACTAACTCTCAAGCTCCTTGGGGAAGTTTCATTTTTTGTTTGAGATGGAGATATTATGTATTTTTAAAGGCATGAACTCCAGTGACTGCGTTGTGTGGCCTGGAAAAAGTGTGCAATTTCTGTCTGCATGGCTAGGTTTATTTTTACGTATCAGTCATGCGAGAAAAAGTTATTTCTATCAGTACAGTGTGTGCTTTCACATAAATTTTAGTTCAAGTCCTGGAGAGGGAAGTAAATGATGATTTTATGATGTAATGTAAAAGTCAATCTCTATTACTTCATTTTTTGTTAATCATGCAGGGGCAGTTACATTTTTGCAATATTGGGATCATCAATTTTAAGGAATAAAATAGAATTTTTCGGTGTCTTTCTATGATTCAGCAAATAATTTTATAAGCTATGTTATATACTCACTTATCTGAAAATTTCTTCAAAACTGCAAAGTTCAGATTTTTTTCAACACCACCCCAATCTTAAAAGCTAATTTGAGGAAGCTACAAAAATCCTTTCAATGACATTTGACCGTCTGTCAGAAGACGGAAGACAATCTTAATACATTCCTGGGTTTGTGTGTACCCACATTCTTCTTCCCAGTAAGGAATATAATACTACGAACTTATGTTGTCACAAATATTGAAAAACATTTAATGTCAAATTGATATATATATATATTCTACATATATATTCTCTTCTCCCAGACTGCAACACTGACGGTGGGAGAATGGTGCGACACCGGGCTGGCTGTGAGGTACGGCACGTCCATAGGCAACTACAGCTGTGCAGCAAGAGCAGTACAAGTGCTAGAACCAAGGTAAAGATAGTGCTCGGACTCTTGTTGTCTGTTCAAGTTGTGATCTGGCAGTGCGTTATGGACTGTCTATGGGCAACAAAAGACAGATCAAAATAGTGGTCATGAAATAATTTTGGGCTTTTATGAAAAATATACTTCTTAACCTGCAATAGCTTGAGATTTCCAAATGAAATTAGTGGTTTCTCAATGTTTGTTGATCCAAGTATTCCAGTAAAAAAATACAAGTTCTGCAAATTAAGAAATGGCAACAGACATGCATGGAAGCACATGCACACTCATAATTAATTCACTCCCTTATCTGCAGATGCCGTGACGTGACAGAGACGTGTCATCGTTTCCTGGACCTGACAGGTCCCTTGCAGATTGGGGGTCTCCCTAGCTCTACAGACTTTCAGGTGCGCTACCCTGACTTTGACGGCTGTGTCAAGGATGTGTACTTAGACAATAAGTTCCTGGACCTGGATAGTTATGTCTGGAACAATGGGACAGGCAAAGGGTGCGAGCAGAAGAGGAGATTCTGTAATAATCAGAGGTGTAACAATGGAGGTAGGTGGCAGTGTGTGTGTGTGTGTGTGTGTGTTTGTGATCAGAGAGAGAGAGAGAGAGAGAGAGAGGAGAGAGAGAGAGAGAGAGAGAGAGGAGAATGGAAAAGAAAAGCAAAAGGTGAGACATTACAGTCTTGAAGAGGTGTTGATAGATGAGTGGTTAAAACACGATAAATAAATTCCTAAGGATTTCCTTTAGAAGCAGTCACCCCTGGTTGATTTGCTTGTAGAGTTGGAAGTTGTGCTTTGTGGCAATACTCAGCATTTATTTAAGACTTCTGTTATTCGCATTTTATGGAAATAGTGCATTTTGCAAAAAGCTCTCAGTACAATCAGAAAGTCAAGTAAAGTACCTCACAAATAATTCACTTTTTATGAAGGTAGTTTATCTTGCAATATGGTTTTCACTTTGATTGAGATGTGTTGTGTAAACCAATACTTGGCATTTATCTGAAGGCCTCTCTTATTCATATTTGCTGTCTGGAGATGCAGACTTGTGTGTTCGCCTCATTTGTTCAGTTATGTGGCGATTCTGAATCCGACTAATGGCTGTGTGTATCAGGGCGAGAGGTCTTCATGACTGAAGAAGCTTTTAGCACATTTAGGAGTCCATGCATCAGTTTGATGAACTGCTGGCCATTTGCAAGGGAATCTACTGTCATTAGAAACACAGCCAAGATCAAAAGGCTTCGGCACACATCCTTGCTGTATAAATATTGCATGGATGAAAAGAAATGCGGTTCCTAGCATTGATATTACAGAGTGAAATACTGCATTAATGTAGAAATAGTGGTCTCTTGGGGTTTTAAGTCCCTTTGTATGGCAGTTGGGAAGGAAATTCCCCTAGAGTAACTTGTATCATGGGTAGGAAATTGAGTTATGCTTTATAGTAATAATGCTTTGGGAATATTAAGATTCAACCCCACTTTTTTGTCTCATGGTTCATTAATTTGCACAGACTTGATGGCAACAGATCTGGAGTTGTTGATCTTACAGAATTTGACATTTCTAACTGCTCCCTTTCAAATCCACATAGGAACGATTGCCTTACACCAGCAAACTGAGCATTTTGAATTATTATATATCTTTGTGGCTCTGTAGTTCCTCTCTTTGTAATTTGTTTGGCAACTTTTTATGGATGAGTAAATGGTAGTACTTAATGTTTGCCTCTGCTTATTTTTCTGTCTACATGCATTGACTGAAATTTTTCTAACTTGCATCTTTTCGTAAGCTTTGGTAATTGTTACAGGACATAGTGTATATTTAAATAGAATCAAATGTTTGAATTCCATTCTTGTTAACCTTATGTAGGGTGAACTTAAGATATAGAATTATATCCTTTCCAAAGATAAAAATGCCTAGCACCACTTGTGTTACAGTATCACTTGTATTTGTGTGCGCTCATCACACACCTGATTAATCTCCAATAGCAACACATTTAAAGAAAGCAGACTCCATTCAGTGAAGAGGCTGGGGGAAAGAAACAGATAGTGCTTGTTTGTCTGCTTGAGTGATAAAACAAAATAATTTTTTTCATAGACCAGGTGGCCAGGGGTTGGTCTAATTGGTAATTTTTTACTTCTGTGTTCGCGTGATGTTATTGATGGCTGAAATGTGAACTATAGGTTTAATGATGTTTTGAAAAAGGGGATACTGTTTGGTGTATTCTAACACAATAAAGATCAATCGAGGAGTGTCTTTTATGAAAGAACTAAAAATATGACAAGATTCTGAAAAAGATTACTTGCAGAAAGATCATAAGGATGATTTCTTCCTGAATTTTAAGTAATTGCTTATACAGAGTTGATAATCGGTTGTTTGGGAGTCTAAGTTTAAGATAAAAGTCATTCTTTCTGTTTGTGTTTAAAATCATTGCATGTTTTTACCACTTACTCCATGAGATAAAAGTTTTAATAGAACATTATTTTGTTTAATTTTTATTTTACTAATAGAGCTTGGAATGAAGTTATTATTGCATGAAGCTTCATTTTTAATTTGTCTGAATTTTGAATAAATCATGATAATGCATTCTTATTTTATTTTATGAATAGTAATTTGTTTTATTTGGTAGTAATGGAGGGGTTTATTATATTTCTTTCTTTAGGGACATGTCATGAGGCATGGAGCACCTACCGCTGTGAATGCCCTCCTAAATATGGCGGCAAGGATTGTTCTATAGGTAATTAGTTGCGCAGCATGCTGTGAAGCTCATATTTGTGATAAAAGTAATTTTTGACAAGTTTGGACCACCTTTTTTTTTCCTTTTGAGCATGTCCCATCTCAGCCAACCATCTGGTTGCAATTAGCTCACCAAAGGAAGCCAGTCTTATCCTCTATATGTTACCTTGTGTTTTGGAGAGTGGGACAACAGAGGGATTAGATTTGCTGCCTATGGTGAGCTACTCCTACAGGAGATGGGTAGACTCAAGGCGACTGGAAATACGATTGTAGTCACTTGTAAGATGATGCTCTCACTGATTTTATCAGGGTATCACTACCAATCCAATGAATTACATTATATTGAGGATGGTTGAGTTGTTCTTTAGAATGTGTATTTTTAAAGGTATCAAGTTGGGAATGCTTTTATATATTTACCATTGCTTTTGTTTGCTGTAGAAGAAGCACTTGATTTGGCTTGGCAGAATGTGTTGTGATATAGTAATGGACACTAAAATACTTGACAGACAACTTTTTTACACATATCTTCACAGTGATGATGAATATTTCTATATCCACCAAGTATCTTGTAATCCAAAAACACTGCTTAAATTAGCTTGGTTTGTATGAGGATTTGTGAAATAAACCGTCTTTATTAGTGGAGGTCTGTAAATAGTACATTATGATACACATACTAATTTAAAGGCATGCCTTTCAGTGATTGAGGAATCCAGACGTCTCTCAGGAAATGGTTACCTTGCCTACAACCCCAGCCCTGGCCAGCGCGTGGCTCTTCCCTGGTATCTGGGCGTATCCTTCAGAACGCGACAAGAGACGGGGCTGTTGATGAGCGTGGAGCTGGGTTCCAGTGTGGTTCTTCTGGAGGTAAGCTGGAGCCAAGACCTCGTTCCCATACCTAGATCGATCTAGCAGGATCGACCCATCTCTGAGAGGTTTCTGGCTTAATTGCTTTCAGTTGTAGTGACTTGGATGTCTGGCACGCCTACTGAAGCTGCTAAACGATAGTTAATTACCCCCTAACAGCTTCAGTAGGCTAGGTCGATCTAGGTATGGGAACAAGGTCCAAACTGGGAAGTAGAGATGTTTGGGATATTCTTATAGTTTACAGATTTCAAATGCCTCACTTGTTTCAGTATTTCTTTTTTTTTCTTCTTTTCAAGTTTTAGATCTTTCAGTTCTAGTTTCTTTCAAAAACATGCTCCCAGAAATTACGAATCGTCTTCGCCAGATATTTAATGCCAAGTTTCCCATACATTAAATTAGTAAAATCAAGGCCAACTTTCAGCTGTGAGCATTTTAGTCAATAAGTTATGCAATTGTTAACTCTAAATCTGGGAATTAGATGTTCATGTTTTCTTTATAATTTTATACAACAAAAACCCCAGTTTTCAATTAAATGTCAATTAAAAGATATGCCTTCCTTTATGATATGCCATTTAATCATAACAATCATTATTGGTGTTAATTTACCTAATTTCATTTGCTGTTTTTAAATTGAATCTTCTTCTTGATATTTCATTAGTTAATATGGCACGTGCTTGTTTGATGGCTGCCTATCAAAATCTTATATATTGTGGAATCAATGTTCATTGACTTTGTACTCTAATTTAGCTGATGAGTTCGATGAGTCAATTGCAGTTCACTAATGCCATTATACCAGTAATAATGTTGTCTAATAGAATTATTTGGGCTCCAAAAGTGATTAGCTAGGTTGCCAAAGTGATAATGTAGTGTTAGGAACCTTGTGATTTGTCTGTGTCTGGAAGGCACAAGTGCACTGTATAAAGGGGTTCGGAGAGGGGATCAAGTTTAAGCAATGGTCCTTGTACAATTTAATTGCCTGTATAATTAACTTCAGGATGAAGACAAGGGGTGCCACCTGACCAAGATATACCATGTTGCAATTCACTATTAGGCTTGCTTCAACCGCCATTCATGTCATATCATTATTTTATCATATAATGGTTACATCAGTATATATAACATTTATTGTTAATTTGTAGCCTGTTTTTATACCCTAAAACTTAAAAGTCCACTACATGTACACATGCTTAGAAAGCGTAGTCTGTTACCTCTCCTTCTGCATCATTGGAAATGTCTCACATTTTTTATATGAGTTTAATTGCAAATTAACAAAATTACCACTTCAAGATACCCTTTACCATGACTGAAACACTCGTAGGTTGAAAATGGAGCTGGTATTTTGAAATCCCAGGCGCTTTCCTCCAGATAAAGCTTAGATCTAACAAATAAATGCAATCTTTTATGGGTTGGAGGTTCTAATTAGTTTTGACACTGGTATAAATCTTTTTTTTCTGTGAAAACTTATTAAGCATATCCCCTTAATGATCCTCTTTATAAAAGTAAACTTCAATTTTTCCTTTTGACATTGCATGTTTTAATATAAGATTTGTTTATCTTGTGCAAGTTATACTTGAGAAAAATTTTCTTTCTTTTTAGCTGGAGAGTGGTTACATCAAGCACACGTTCCCACAGAACAACGCACCTTCGCGGATCATCCGCTTTGACCAGGTCTGGGTGAATGATGGGAAGTGGCACTACGTGGAGGTGCGCTGGAGATCTGACCAGATCCAGATTATACTGGACTATGGACAGTTACAGGTAAATAAATACATAAAAATGTGATTTACAATGAAGATAAGTAGCCCTTTAGTTTGTTAAAGATTCACTGTTTCAGTGATCAAAAACAGAGCCTTTTGTCAGAATGAGGAGGAGTTTTTTTATCACGTTGTAATTATTAATACAAATACAAATACAAATATTAATGATAAATCTTTTTTACATGGCTTTAATACCTGTATTGCAGGAGAGTCACCCTGTGGCCACAGGCAGTTTAGTTGTTGGTTCCACTGTGACAAGGATATTTGTTGGTGGTTTGGAGCATACGTCGTCAGGAAATGTAGAAGTGTTGAAAGGGCTAAAAGCTTGTCTTGAAGTAAGTGGGACTCTTTGCAGATGATTATGATAAAAGGATTTCATGTGATAACGCAGCATGCCTCGTAATTAATGATATTTTTAATAAATTATACTTAAAGTGACATTACAAAAAATTACTATGTTGAACATTTGTATCTTTCATTCATATAGAAAATAAGATATTTTTCTCCCACAAGTTGCTATCTAAAGCCTTTGCTAGACATTTGCTAGATTTAGCTTCATTAGTACCACCAGCGTGTACGCTGGCGGTACTTATGGTTTTAGTCCCGACCCGTCTCGTACGGCTCCTGCGGCTCCGCCGGCTCCTGCAGCTCCGCCGGCTCCGCGNCTGCCTTGTTAATTTAGCCCCATTAGTTTTTTTTTTTGTGAGAACAGATAAATCTATTAATTATTGTTTTTATTTTTTTAAAGTGCTAGTCTGATGTTCGTTAGGTTTAAATTGGACAAAAATTCTTTAGCTCCCTAACTATGAATGAAATTTTTAAAATGTTAAATGGACCTATATAATGAGAATGAGTGAAAATGGGCCATAAAAGGCTCAACCATACCAGCCTGCAAGTTTACACGAACTTTCTCAGAAATCCTTAAATTCTGCCTCAGGTAACGTTGCATCAAAATTGAAAATAAAATTAATGGACGACTATTTTACTTATTATTCTTAAACTTGCAGAGATGCTTTTTAGAACTAAAAGCTTCAAGTTTGAAAAACAGCCTGATTAAATTCTCAATACTTTTTTGAAGTTATTAATTTTTTTTGTTCTGTATATTTTGCCTTACATGTCTGACTCTGGTTTTAAAAACCAAAAAAGTTTCTTTTAAATTAAAAAAGTTTCTTTTTTACCTATTTGGTAAAAACAATTATTTTACTCAGAAAAATTGTGCAACTTCTTAATGAATTTTTGCTTAAAAGATATTTAAAGATGTTTAATAAATGCTTAGCCATACCTGTTACTGCCAATCTCTGCTGTTTACTCGAAGTACAAGATCTGCTACTAAGGTTCGGTTGAATGACCAAGGTATTTATACTAAAGATAAGATGCTGAAAGTGAAACCGAAAGTACGGTTTGGGACCTCCACGTTCTTAAGTTCTTAGAACTGGGGGTTTCGGAATCTCTTTTTTCTGAGAACTGGTGGTTTCCAGGAGATCTTGCATGGAAATTTATGACAATCATAAAGTGAATATTTATGCAATTTATTGTATTTGATACGATGATTATGATGATGATATCATAATAATAATAATAAATACAATAATAATAATAATCAAGGAATATTTCACTGTTTTTAGTCGCATCAAATTTTGAAAAGAATATTTTGATTCATCATTTTTATGTACAGACACATTGCCATTGCCCACTTTCAGAGATAACATGATGAGTGGAAAACTGTTTGACCTATTGTCCTCAAACTTATGGTACTGAAGTCATAAAATAAAGGTCGAGTCAAAAATAAGCATAATTGGAACATTTCTTCAAAAGTTATGCTTTTTTTTGCTTTTTCAGCAAAATATTATATGCAATAACACATTAAGTGGAAAAGCAGTTGACCTATTGTCTTCAAATTTACAGGAATGATTAATATTACTGGAATACATCAGATGTGCAGATTTGACAAAACAGAAACTATTTTGTGCACTTCCACCAAAACGCTCTGAAAGGAAATCTTGTTGCTTATTTTCTAACTAACAGGAATGATTTTAATGATTGTCATGCAGCTCAAATAGGAAAACCAGCTTGATAGGATTATTTTTCTTGAATTTATCCAATTTTTTTGTGAAATTTTCATTTTTCTTATTCTTGGATTTTGAATATGTGAATTTTAATCCTCATGGGCCTGAAGTCTTTTGCCAGTTACATATTCTTAATATCCTTGTTACCTGTTTTGCATATTTAAAAATTGCTGTTGCTTTTGCTGTTAAGCATTATATAATTTTATATCAAATTTTAATATTTACATTTTTTTGGTTTTTATGTTTGTACATTTGACAGCGCTGCTGACTTCTTTGTGATTTTAGGTGTAAACTTCAGGATGTTATCCATGTGCTTTGTGGTTGAATACAAAATTAGTGATAAATCTTTTTTACTTGACTTTAATACCTGTATTGCAGGAGAGTCACCCTGTGGCCACAGGCAGTTTAGTTGTTGGTGCCACTGTGACAAGGATATTTGTTGGTGGTTTGGAGCATACGTCGTCAGGAAATGTGGAAGTGCTGAAAGGGCTAAAAGCTTGTCTTGAAGTAAGTGATAGTCTTTTCAGATGATTATGAGAAAAGGATTAAATGCATGTGATTTATGATATTTTGAATAACTTAATATTTCCAATGCCAGATGTTAAAATGACACTACAAAGAATTACTATGTTGAAGATTTTTATCTTTCATTTATATGAAAAATTAGTTTTCTTTCAGAAACTGCTGTCTAAAGCCTTACGCATTCGCCAGTTTGAGCTTTGTTTAGTAGTTTTTTATCAATATGATGGAATAAAACCAATGTCTTGTTTCATGTTAAAATACATTAAAAAAAACGTCAAAACCCAAAATACCAAATATTTTATAATTTCAAAATTCAAAAGATGCATTTCAGAAATTCACAGCCTCAACAGCCCAAATGCCATCTAAACACCTAATATTAATCAGTTCCATCTTTGTATTTCAGAATGTCCACCTGGGCAACAGTGCTAATTCTATCTTAGTGGGACCCCAGGAGTACAATGCTGTACGTGGGTGTAACCTCCCTGACCCCTGTGCTGGGGTCACCTGCCCTGCCAACAGTCAGTGTGTGGATGAATGGGACAGGCACTCCTGTCAGTGTTACCCAGGTAAGATGTTCCCAAGATAAAGTGGGTGGATGAATGGGACAGGCACTCCTGCCAGTGTTACCCAGGTAAGATGTTCCCAAGATAAAGTGGGTGGATGAATGGGACAGGCACTCCTGCCAGTGTTACCCAGGTAAGATGTTCCCAAGATAAAGTGGGTGGATGAATGGGACAGGCACCCCTGTCAGTGTTACCCAGGTTCATGTAAGAGGTTACCCTAGTAAGGTGTTACTCCAGTAAACTGTTTTCCCAGATGAGTCATTATCCTAGTAAAATGTTCCCCACAGGTAAAAAAGAATTCTAACAATTTTAAAAACAATTTTGCAATGGTGTCAGTAATTTTGAGTAAGTGGAGTAATTAATCTATGTTAAATTAAAAGTATAAATTCTCCATTTAGGTCTACCTCTTCAGTGCTTTCAATGAATTTAAAGTACTGTGATATCTAAAGATTAATTAAAAACTTCATTTGATGTAAAAATATAGGTGTTAACCCTGTGATTATGTGTAGAATTTTACATCTTCAGGCTATATTGGCTCCAGTTGTCGTGACATCTGCACTGCTTACAATCCTTGTCAGCACGGCTCAGAGTGTCGCCATGACATCACTGCAATACGGGGATACAAATGTGACTGCAAGGAGCTGAACTCTGGCAGCTACTGTGAGAACTCCATAGTCCAACAGTGTCCCACGGCCTGGTACGGCTACCCTATCTGTGGTCCCTGTAACTGCCCCAGTGACAAAGGATATGATTCCAACTGTGACAGTAATGGGAAATGTGCCTGTAAGGTGAGTGCTACACAGCCTGCAGTGTTAACCACTTGTCCCATGACAGATGACATTCAGTTGAAATAAGAAGCTGGGATTAGTTGGCCTAAACTCAGTTAGACTATATGAGGCACAAGCTTTTACAGTAGGAATGTGTAGACAAGTATCAAGCAAACATTCAGTTATGTTACATTATATTATTTTTGTTAGTTCTATATGTATATCGTTATTGTAACAACAGTTGTCTCACTTGAACTTCTTATAAATTATGTAAGTAGTTTAGCATAACTTAACTGTTAAATATTCTTTAAGTAAATGATAGTAAAATATCTTTGCAATATTTGAAATCCAGGACTTCCATTACCGCCCAGAGGGCAGTGAAGAGTGCTACAAGTGTAACTGCTACTCTGTTGGGTCATTTGGTCAGTCCTGTGACCCACTGACTGGACAGTGTAGGTGTCGTATGGGAGTGAAGGGCAAGCGCTGTGACCAGTGTGATAGCCGGTATGCTGAAGTCACTAGAGAGGGATGTAAAGGTAAAGATGATACAAGGGATAGCAAGAATGGACTGCCAATACCCGTTACATTTTTTGTAATATATTCAACATTCTCAATCTGAGTCACCAAAGATATTTATTTGTTCCAACTGTATCACAAACTTACTTTGTTTAAAGAACAAAAAAGTGAAGTGTGGATTTTATCTTACAACTTGGTAAGTGTTGTGCCACAGTGTCAGACGTACACCATGTACAAATAGCTTGCTTCAACATCCAGGTAAAAGACACAAAAACATGAACTGCCTGAATGCAACTGAAGCCAAAGAAGATGCTGAGAACCAGAGACACGGACATATTTTTATTTCTGAACAGTTTATGTGTCAGCAAAACTTTGTTCATGTTTATCACACAAAAGCGCCAACAGGCATTTTATTCTTACAGTCGTCCACAGTGCAATGAAAGAACTGTTGAAAGTGATTTTTGGCAGTATTAAGAAATTGTTTTCATTGATTTAAAATCGATAAAATGGTTAAAATATTTAAGACGTGTTCTTGGGATTCTTCTGATTTCATTGAATCATATAGAAGCTGTTTCTGTAATGATTTCTCATTCTATTTTCAGTTGTCTATGGCAAATGTCCTAAAGGATTCTCTGACAACATTCTATGGTTGCAAGTCCCGTATGGTGAGACCGCTGTCCAGGACTGCCCTGATGGGACCAGGGGTCAAGCTAGCCGTCACTGTGACCTGGAGACAGGCTGGCAGAACCCTGATGTCTTCAACTGTACTTCTAACCTCTTCAAGGAGATTGAGTCTCGGGTAAATATGAAATAATATTTTAAAAGATCAGGATTAGGGTGTGGATTTTCCTGTATTTGGAGGATTCAAAAATGGTGTTTAGGAAGTCCCAGGAGTTGTAATTACATGTTTATAAATGGAGAAATGCCAGTCAGAGGGAGGAAAGTCTGCCTTCCTTTTTAGGGGTGAATTTAAATAGTAAAATAGCTTGATTTATGCTGAATGTTTAACTCTCGACCTTTGATAATTGTACATAACTTACCGCAAAAGCACGCCCCAATTGGATATTTTCTGACTTCAAAAATTGGTCTTCATCACTTATTCCAGTTGGTGGAAATTGAAAATGGTCAGCTGCTTATCAACACTTTTGTTGCCAAGAATCTCCTCACCAAGTTGAACAATGCCACCAACCAGACGGCATACATGTACGGAAAGGACATCGATATTACCAACCGCCTGGTGAAACAGTTGTTGATGTACGAGATCAAACAAACTGGCCTCAATCTTACCAATACACAGGACAGGTTATATGTACAGGTGAGGAGTTTATTTTTAAGTGTGTGCAGTGATAAAATTATTTGAACGTGATATTTTAAAACATTAAATCTTACAGATGAAAATAAAGAACCCCTTTTGATGTGACTGCAAATGAACAGTCAGAACTTTCTCATTGGGATTCCAATAAGAAATTATTCACACATTTTCCATCTCTTAAACAGCTGAAATTTAGATCTATAATACTGTTAGAATAATTATCTATTTCTTACTCCATGCCAACCCATTCTGTCTCTATCAAAACTCAGATCTATAAACCATGTGCCTCATACTGTTCATGCTTTACAAATACTCATTTTTTTCCTTCCCAGAACATGCTGAACTCACTGAGCAGGACCATGATAGCGCCCTATGCGTCTCACTGGGAGAAGGCAGGGGGCGTGTCTGAGCTGATGCACCTATTGGAGGAGTACCTGTCTACACTGGCACTCAACATGGCGGTTGTGTTCCAGAGCGGGGGAATGAACCCCTTCGATGCCGTCACGGATAATCTAAGTAAGTTTTGATCAAATTGACCTATTTATTATACACTTTGTTATATTTCTGATGCAGAATTGTTCACAGCACTGGAATTGTATTTCATATTTAACTGGTTTAAACTTGAAGATTTTATGTCTCTTTTTACTTAAGCTAATTATGAATGAATTTTAAAGTCTGTGTAGCTGATAAATTTATATGTATTATATTGATTTTTTTACAGTTTATATCTCTACACTATAAAGAAGCAACTATCCTGGTATGGTATATACTCTTATCTTTGTGCATTTTGTATTTCCAGTCTTTGGTCTGGACTTCATCTTGAAAACCAACTTCAGTGGCACTAACATCCCAAAATACAACAACAAGGTGCAGAACAGTGCCATGTTTGACAAGGACACGCATGCCATCTTGCCAGCCTCTGTGTTTGGTCAGCCCAGTGTACAGGGTGGGTAGTTCACCAAGGAGGGTTGAGCGAAACTGGGATATGTATGATATGGAAAATATCATCCACCAGATGTTTTTATTAGACAATTTACTGTACTGAGTAGGTGATGGTATTCCTTCAGAGGCAGGGGTGCAGTTGCAGGCTACCAGCAGTTTTGTAATTTATTTGATTCAATTCTATTAAAATGTTTTAAAATGCTTTTGCCAACTGATGATCCAAGACTGTCAAAGAAATCATAAAGGATTTAAATGTGTAATTTTCAATCTTTGTTGGAATAAAAGGCATCAAATACGCAAAGTATGCCCCACCTTTCTGTTTATCTATCATAAAACAATCCTATGTATTTAAAAAAAATAAGTTTCTATGTTAATTCCCCTTCCAGAATGGATCCAGTCCTCACTGAACAGCCAGCCCAAGGCAGTGGCAGGATACATCATGTTCAAAACCCTGGGGAGTATCATACCAGCCAGCTATGATGACAAGAAAGTCAGGTGAGGAGATGAACTTTGCCACAATATCCAGAGTTTATAAAATTATATCTGGTATTTGACTTAATATACCAAATATGTCAAAATAATTATTTTGTTTATGGGTGATAATCCCAAGTGCCACATTTAATACTGCTTGGGTTTATGCTCCCAAGAGACAATCATTTCAGGATTGAACAGGTTTATAAAGACCAGGTATAAATTGAACAGGCCCATAAAAACCAGGCATAAATTGAACAGGCCTATAAAGATCAGGCATAAATGGTAAAACAGGTTCATCTTGTTTATCGAGGCCAACATGTTGTAAAATGAAAACCTTAACTCTTTACTCATTTCAGAGTCCATGACTACCTGACTGTGAATACCCCCATCATGTCCCTAGTACTGCAGGACGGGAACAGAACTGTCAAACAGCCAACTCCTTCTGTCACCTTTGACTTCAAGCAGCTGGTGACAGAGAGAAGGACCAGCCCACAGTGTGTCTACTGGGAGTTTGTGAATAAAACGTAAGTGTGTGTGTGTGTGCACGTGCGTGTGCACATGTTACACTAGTTTCTTTCATTCTTTTACCAGCTAATTTGAATTCTTGCATTGACAAAATCAGACATTTTTAACCTTTAGGAACCTTTAGTGCCAAAACTGATAAGTATACTGTTTAAGACATCTTACCATAAGATAATTTCTCAGTTTGGGTTACTTTATATTCCTGATCATCATTTCAGTGGGCTAAGTGGTCACTGGACATCAGAGGGCTGCTGGCTGGACAACAGGAGAGAGTCTGGAGGGAATAAGTTTGTGACCTGCAGCTGTAACCACCTCAGTTATTTCTCTGTTCTGATGGACATCTCGGATGTCGAGGTAAGCTGACAGATTTTCTGTTGATGTTTATAAGTTGATTATTTTCTCAACTTCTGGAACTGGCAAAAATGATGCCATGCTTGTAATGTCAGAAATAAGACATTTAATCTCAGGTGATACTTCAACTTTTCTTGCAAAATTGAAAAATAGAAAAATTGAAATTCTTTTTTTATCTGAAGTAAAATTTGTGTGCAGAATTTTCAAGCAGGATATTTACCCAAACTGTCACACTTTTATAGTTTTTCCTTAAAATATTACATATTGTTTATCTTAACATGCATAATTCCATTCAGGTATACAATTTAAACATTCTAGCCCATGTGTACTTTACCAAATTGAATGTATTATTCTCTTTCCTCCAGTACCTGGCGAGTGCCACAATCCAGATGGAAATCGTCACGTATGCAGGTGTAGCGTTGGCAATGGCATTCTTGCTGCTGACATTCATTATACTGTGTATTGCTCAAAACAACATGCGTTCCAATGCCAACAGTATTCGTATCAACTTTGTGTTCATCACTCTCCTGGCCTTGCTCACCTATGTGCTGGGGATTAACAGGACAGACCCTGAGGTATCTCTCTCTCTCTCTCTCTCTCTCTCTCTCTCTCTCTCTCTCTCTCTCTCACACACACACACACACACACAGACAGAGTAACTTTTTGAAATCTAAGTTGTTTCACTTTGTACTTTTTGTTTTGTCTTCTTGTACAAAGATTGGCATATTGACTTAATAGAAAAATCAACATCTGTCAATATTTTGTGTTTTCATGTATAGAATGACATTGTTTTTGTAAGCCCAAAATGCCTTTTTGCTATTAATAAACATTTATCAGAGATCACTTTGATGCATATGGATATACAGATATAGTTTTTTATTTTAGTCAGACACAAAATGACTGTGAACTGTTCTTCCTTTTCAGCTTCTGTGCAAGTTAATTGCAATTGCCTTACACTTCTTCTTCCTTGGGGCCTTTGCCTGGCTGTTCATTGAGGCTCTCCACATCTATCGCATGCTGACAGAGATTCGGAACATCAACAAGGGCTCCATGAAGTTCTACTACGCAGTGGGTTATGTGGTACCAGGAATCATTGTAGGTCTTTCTGTGGGGCTGAGTACTGACAAATATGGAACTAGGTCATTGTAAGTGAATATTTTTTGACTTTGGCTACATTAACCACAATATTTATTTATTTATTTATTTTTCTAGGGGTGATAGAATTGTTATAGTATGCTTGCAGCACATGGAATATCTGCTTTTGATGCCTAATGCAGATAATTAATGTAAAATTGTGAAAGTTATTTTTTAACAAAAATATTTTGATTAATGGGTATCTATACGGAAACTGTAAATAATACATTTAAACATTTGATTTGACATTAAATTTTCAATGCAGAAATGTATCGGTGTTGATTTAGTTTGATATCAAATATATACTCCTCATTGAAATATTTCTTTGAACGTTGGTTTATTTCTTTTAAGAAGTACCAACTGATAATGAATTGTCTTAATTTCACCACAATGATTATAACTATATAATGATGATGAATATATACTGTTTAAAACATCAGCATTTCTTATGCTTTCAGTTGCTGGTTGAGCATAGATGACAACATATTCTGGAGTCTTGCAGGGCCTATCATTATCATAGTCGCTGTAAGTGCACAGTTATGGTATACACATGTATGTTATAATAAGTGTAATGTTCACAAAATTTGTAATTTTTTTCTTAATGAGTGATTGATGTTTTCTTTAAATATCTGTGATGGGTATTTATGTATAATAATTAAAGAAATAAAAGATGTTTAATTTGTTGTTGCAGATGAACCTGATAGTGTTTGTGTTGGCTCTGAAGGCTGGCTGTGATGGCAAGGCCATGGATGCTGAGTTTGGGCCTGTCAGGTAAGATAGACCCAAATACTTGACATTATCACTCTTCTTATGATCAGACATATCTGTATACCAAGATACTTTATAGGGTTTACACAAATATTCAGTTTTAAGCAAAATTGTAACCATATGTTAACTGGCAATGTTTGCTCTTGGTTATTAACATTGTTGGAGTAACGTTTTTTTTTCAGATTATAGGTCTTAACACAGTGTTTAAGTTTCTAGCTTGTTTCAAACTTGTAAATCAGATCTTTTATTCTGAACAGTTACATTTTCATTTTACTCTAGGAATAGTCTCATCTCAGCCGTAATACTGCTCCCCCTGGTGGGAGTCACGTGGGTATTTGCTCTGCTGGGGGCCAATGACAGAGACATGGTGGCCTTTGACTACCTCTTTGGTATCTTCGCAACATTCCAAGGATTTTTTATTTTCATTGCATATACTATATTAAATGAGTTGGTAAGTGCATAGAGTTTTTTCAGTATCTATAAATCTCCACTGCAATTAAATCAGACTATTAACTCAACTTTGGCCTTGTAAGAAGTACATATTGTTATAATTATGTTAATCTTATATTAATAATAATAATAATTATTATTATTATTTTTACTCACTTCAGGTGAGAAAAGAAATGAGGCGTACCTGGGCCAAGATTACAGGGCAGAAATTTGACGACTCACTCAGTGGAACAAGGACAACCATGCTCTCAGTAAGTAATGGAACATAAACATTGAAATAATTTTGATGGTGTAGAAAATGATGTAGGATTTGTGAAAGTAATGACTTAAACTTAAGTTAACTCATAGTATCACCAAAACAGAAAAATTTATTCATTTAAGCAGCATTTTTTCTGTTTTGGTAGCACAATGTGTGTCAGCATAGGTTGTATAAAATGAAACAAAATAACTTTTGACCTTTCCCTTTTGCAGCGCTCAGCTCTAGCCTACGCACATGACTCTTCTTTAGAAGGAGGTCTGAATCGCATGAACATAGGCATCTCAACCACATCCACTACGAGTCGTTCAACCAGTAAAACAAGCAGCGGTGGTCTTTATCGCCCTGACGGCTATCTTAGGAGTACCAGTACATCAACATCGGGGAACATACCTTCTGGTGCGGAGTTTACCGGCAATGGCATTCCACCATATGGCTTTGACTATGATATGAAACCTGTGGATGGTAGGCTTTGCTTGCATTTGATTGGTCAACAACAGGCATGACATCATTTTTGGCAAGAAGCTGAAATTTTTAAAAAAATCTTGACTCATAATAGTATGGAGAATTATTTTCAGATGCTACATGGTTAAAGGAAATGAAAAATGTTCAAATTGTTTTTCAACCTTTTGTCCAAAAAAAAAAAATTATCTGGAGTTAACCCAAGAGTATGAACATTTAAATCCAAGATGTTGATAGATGTTGATATTTTTTATTCCAAATCTGTATGGCTGAAATATAAAAATATGGATTTAAAAGATGCAATACATGAAAGTCAAGGGATTTGTAAAATGGAAATCTATTTATAAGAATCAATGGAAAATTGATTTTATTTCCAAATATTACAAATTTTGAATTTTTTGTAAGTTTGAAATGAATTGATGCTAAATAATAATGTCATGTTCAGGTGGTAAAATGGGCTTTAAATCATCACTTTCTTTTGACTTATTTCTGGGAAAACTTGTCATATGAATTTAGGAAATATCAATATATTATATGCTGTGAGGTCTTAACGTTTGTTAAGCTGCATAAATTGTTTCAAAATATATGATGGAGTTATCCCAGCATTTCTACCTTCTTAATCTCACTGCAAATTGACAACTTTGGATTTGAAAACATGTCAGTGAAATGACGTTCATGGATGTCACACATGCAGGGGTCTTTTCAGATCTGGCTTTTTGGCATTTACACTTGTTTCCAAATTTCAGTACCAGAAAGGCTATGGGGTGCTCTCACTCCCTTTGTAAGCCAGTGTAAATGACAGTAAGAGCTAAAATATTACCCATCTGCCTCTTTAGTGTCAAAGTTTCATGGATGAGATTTCAAATCCAAAAATCCATAGGCTTAAGCAACCTTGGTCAGAATAGCATTTCACCAGCTGTGTTACACACTTATAATGAAGCAGTAATATTTGTCACTCAACATTTGAATATATTGGAGCTTAACCAGAATTTCAATTTACTAACTGTTGATTGAAGAAACATTACTGCTTTGTTTTAGTACATTGGTGTTTGTACACCACTACTATTACACTGTTACTTTGTTGCTTCATTAATACTGTTTGAACAACCAGGAATATATGGTGCGTTTATTCACAAAATTCCTACAAACAGTGTTATTTCTCAACCAGTTTAATGTGGTGAAGGAAAATGCTTCTTAATCATATTAAAAGGGTGGTTGCAGGCACAAGGTTAATTCAACTGGAGGGTTAATTCTTTTAATGGTTTTAGACGTTTTTTGGAAAAAAAGTTGTCATATTTATTGTATGACAGATGGAGTAAAGATACATACTTCCTGGCTTATGTCAAATACATTTATGCTTTTTGAGCAAAAGTTATCCACATTTTCCACTATGAAGATCTATTCTATGAGTGAATGCCAGTTTTCAGCAAAATTACAATTTTAATAGAAAAGATTTAAAAAATTTTTTTCAAGAATTTGACAATTGAACCTCTTCAGATGATATTTGAATATTTCTATTATCTGACATTGGTATAAAAAACCAAACCCCTAATTTAACGAGCAGTTCGATTTACTAAGAATGAATATGTATCATTCAATTTCAGACCCTGACACTGGCGAGATCAACCGCAAACATGACTCCGATTCTGACAGCGACATGTCAAATGGAGACCACATGGAACTGGCTTCCAGTCATTCCTCAGATGATGACGATGATTATGAATATGAGAAAGGTCCTCGTTGGGATCAGCCAACTAATAAAGTATTAGGTGAGATGTGTATAAATAAGCAATACAGAAAAGGATTTCTGGTTAAGGTCCTGGATGACATGGGGCAATAAAGTATTAGATGAGGTGGATATAAGTAGTACAGAATGAAGTAGAAATGTAATGAGAAGCAGAAAGATAACTTCCTACAATCTAATGTTTATCATGCAGAATTGTTATAAATATGCGGATTTTTGGAGTTGGAATTTTAGTACACAAGACCTTGTAATGAGTAATTGTCAGTGACTTACAATAATGACCAGTACTGAGGTGCTGTAAAAAGTGTGACAAAAGATTGACACTTGACTTTACTATGTATTTTAGAACGTGTCAAGTCTCAGACTCCCAAGGGTCCTGCTCACAGTACGCCAGTTGGTAAGTAGCACTACAGAAATTTATCTTCCTCTGTTTCAAGCTCGTATACCTAAATGTAAGTTACAGACTAGACCCAGAGGTTTAAAACAGACAATTTGTTTCATTTACAAAATCTATTTAATGACTTTTTTCTATCTGTATATAATGGTTGAATTTTTTTCCAGGGCGCAACTCTCCGACATCACGGTCTCCTACGCGCTCTCCCATTCATTCCCCAGTTAACATGAACAACCATAGAAAGTCTCCGCTTTATGACAATGACATGAAGTACCCCAATGTAGTCAAACTCCCAGATATAAGGTCCAGTGTGGAAAAAATCCCTCCTATATATGAAGAAGGTGAAATTATTGTTCTTTGTTTAAAAAAATGGAACCTTCAGCTATGAAAAGATTATATTTCCATATGATAGTCCATAATACAATGACAATTTAATTTGAATTTTTTTTTTTCCTTGAGTATTACTTATATCATTTTTTACTTTAAAATAAAATGGCATAATCCCTCGGTGATATTTAGATACATGCACAGAAGAAATAAAGTTAAATGTACCATTTCAATTTCCTGATAATACACAAAATCCATGGATTATACTGTTTTAATTGGGAAAAAACTTCTTATTCAGATAACAAAGCTTACATAGTCCCTCCAGAGAGAAGTGACAGCCTGCCCCCAAATGGAGTCCATGATGGTCCCCCATCTAAACCACAGCACCTGCGGGACAGGGTTGCAGTACAGGTCCTCACACATAATGGCAGCATATCTTCAGACACGGAGGAGGAAGAGTAAGTAGTGGATTGGAGAAAGGGGGAAAAGAGTTTGAAAGCTAGAAAACTAATGGAGCAGGAGTGAACAGAGCATTTCCTTCCACCTCCCTTTTTTATTGCAAGCATACAGTTGGCCCCTTAAGTGTCAGATATTTAGATGAAGAAGGAAAATCATTCTTGATTTTTTCCTTTGACTCTCTTGTTAAGTACAATGGATATTGGAGCCCAACTGTATCTAGGTATCAGAAAAAAATTGGGAGGAGTGTTTTTTGAAAAAATACTTGTTAACTTGGCAGAATCTTTGTCATTTGGAGATTTTTCTTTACTGAACTTGGATGTTTTAAGTAAGTATATTTTTAATCCTATATTTTTTTCTATGTATTTCAGTCATGAAACAGAAGTATGACATTCAAGGTCAAGGTCACCAAGACGATCCAAGCAGAATCTGCCTTATAGGACCATGTGACTTAGTGTTGAAGATGTATTTGTAGCATGTGTAAATATTCTGTGAATGTAAATGTTATTTATGAAGTCATGTCTCATGGCTGTATTTTCTGATTGCATTTATTTCTGCCATTTAGACATGGCATTTTTTTTATGCAGAGAATTTGAAAAATGCTTGCCATTTCATTGCGGTGCATATGAGGTGCAGTTTAGTAGGGAAAACAATATAATGTTTTATTTTTTTCTCTTTTAAGTAACTTTTTTTATCATTTTTTTTTTCTTTAAATCTACAAAACAGAAGAATACTTTCCAGCTTAAGATAATCAGACTTTTAGTTCAAGTATTATATCCTTGGAGTGCCTTTTGTACTGGAATAGACTTGAATCTGAAGGAACCAGCAATGTTGTTTGAAAAAAAAAGCATAGGTCATATAGTGTTTTGCAATTTGACATGGAAATATGAAGTATGTTGCTATGGTGACATTTTGTATATTTTGTAAAAAGATATTTGTAAGTGCAAATTTTATTTGCATAGATGTTTATAATGTCAGCAACTTTCAAGGCCCTCGTTAATGTATCTGTATATGTTGTAAATGGTTGTGATTGGACTCTGTGAATTTTGAATGAAATGCTTTACGCTGCAAAGGCAGAGTGTGGAAAAAAATCACTAGCACATTTTCACAATTATATTATTGAATTAGTGCTGATTGGTAATTTTGTAAATGTTTTACTTCTTAGGGGATTCATAATTTTTACGCTTGTGTAATGTTTTAAAGTAGGTTTTTTATATCTCTTGTGACAATGGAAATTTAAGTCATTGCTTTAACTTTTTTTAAAGAATCCTTGTAAGATAAATGAATATGACTCAAAATTGGGTTAATAGAATATTGTGTAGTTATATTGCATTTATTGCAAAGATCATTTTGCCCCCAGTTTCAACCTAAAGGTTAACAGATATTTTTAGTTTATATTATTAGCACTTAAAGTAGAGTTTTATTGGAACCTGAAATTGATCTCTTCTTAAGAATATTAACATTGCTGCTGAATGTGCACACATCTCTGTTTTTAAGATATTTTTGTCTATGACAAACAGGTTATTGGATGATATCCTTCTAAAGGAATATTTTGGTTTGTCATCAGTTTTGATAGATTGTCAGGGATGTGAGGGGTGTCCTTGCTTTTAGTACATTATTCTGACTCAGTTACATCCTTGCTTGTATGATGTATGGATCCACATTTTAGTATTTTATAATGGGTCCAAGATAGGGGATGAAAAATGATCAGTACATTTAAAATGCTGAATGATATTTCAGTATTAGGGTCAGTTTTTTAAGTATTTTGTTTACATTGGAACATTTGTTGTCATATCACACCCTATTTCCTTCCAAGAATTACTCTTACAGTAAATATTCAGGTGTCGGCTCTTTTTAAGAAGTCACATACACAGTAGTTTTGTTGTGCATATTAATGTCACCTATATTTGGCAGTCTCATTTTATGGTGGCGCCATCTTCAGGACAATTAGTTGTGCCACCAGCACGTGCTTGAGTAGTAGTTGTACCACATTGTCTGTGATACAAAGCATAGAGTTCTGTTAATAACAGTGAAGCTTTTGGTGTTGAAGAGCTTTTGAATGTGTGCTAACAATTGTTTTCTAGTAAAAGATCACAACTGATAAAATGCTAAATAAATTGTCTAAAAAATTAAGAAAATTTGTTCTTGAATCGTGTTCCCTACACTGTGGCTTAGGCCACTGGAAACGACAATATTTAGACTGGTAACATTTTACCCCGCGTGTCGTACGATTAAGTTGTGTACGGTTTTCTTGGCGAATTTTTACTCTGTAGCCCGTATAACATCTCGTCGGTGACCAATTGCAAAATCATAGTTCAAAAACGCAATGCTAGAATGAAGCAACTTTAATCCCCATCTCAGAAAAGCGGTCTTCCACTGCTCTACCGCGTAATGCTCTCGGTCACTTTTCTATAATGAAGCGTACCTTGGCCTCTTTTAGGAATTTACCTTAATAGACTTCTGAAAGACATTTCATTGAATTCATTGAGACTGCCACTACCGTGCATTTCCTCCACTGGAAAAGCCACAGTGATGTGACTTCGGATAAAACTTTGAATCGAGAACAATAGCAAGATTCTCTATGAATAAAGGTATTGTTGAATATATTCTTATGAGACCTTATAGAATAATAGACGCATTTAAAATTGTCCAAAAATCATATTTCCTCAAAATACATATCCCGCATCTTTCCTTATTCATATTTTAAAAACGATAAAACCTTTCATAGCAGTACCATCTGTCGACATTTCCTACTGATGCACGGAAGGACATGAAAGTCTTATCATCTTGTCAGACATTTAAAACTAAATCATTACATTGGATTGATATAAAAAATCAAATATAAGTGCATTGATAGCTTTGATGCTTTTTTTTTTTTCGAGAAAAAATCGATGTGGTGGAAAAATCCCGGATAGGATATCTTTTATGGTAAGGGTAAGGAAATGATGCTGCAACAATCTATAAATTGTCATCATCCAGAACGCTTCACAGCTATCAATCCCGGTAATGCTTGCTTGGATATGCATTTTTGCATTGAATTTCATAGGACTATTACTAAAAGCTATTTAGGTTAACTTTTCTGCGCCAAAGGCAATACCGTGAAGTTCTATTAAGTTAAATGTCGTGCATTTATAGTTGCCTGTTTTTGAAAAGTTACATATTAAAGTTCTTAATATGTTTTTATCCGATATATAGTCCTTAAAGTTTAAAAAAAAAAACATGATATTTAATTTATTCTACTTTGCAAGATGGTATTTGAGCACAGCTACTTATAAGTAACGATAAAAGTCACAACATGTCACAATTTGTCACTTGTCTTCTCTAACACAATGCCACGCCAGCAATTTTATTCGTTTTATTCATTCGTCCTGTGAAATCTGACTGCTAAGCTTAGTTATTTGATATGAAACAAAGTGACTGATGAAATGTGATTTTCCAGCAAACTCGAATCGCCTAGGAGCTCACTGTGCCTTAACACATCACAAAGACTTATATTTCAATCGAGGCTTTCGTACGGAGGGTGGGTAAAATGTACATCGTTATGTAAATCGGGTGGGCATTTTAGNACGCGCTCTTAACTCAACTTTGGCCTTGTAAGAAGTACATATTGTTATAATTATGTTAATCTTATATTAATAATAATAATTATTATTATTATTATTTTTACTCACTTCAGGTGAGAAAAGAAATGAGGCGTACCTGGGCCAAGATTACAGGGCAGAAATTTGACGACTCACTCAGTGGAACAAGGACAACCATGCTCTCAGTAAGTAATGGAACATAAACATTGAAATAATTTTGATGGTGTAGAAAATGATGTAGGATTTGTGAAAGTAATGACTTAAACTTAAGTTAACTCATGGTATCACTAAAACAGAAAAATTTATTCATTTAAGCAGCATTTTTTTCTGTTTTGTTAGCACACAGTGTGTCAACATAGGTTGTATAAAATGAAACAAAATAACTTTTGACCTTTCCCTTTTGCAGCGCTCAGCTCTAGCCTACGCACATGACTCTTCTTTAGAAGGAGGTCTGAACCGTATGAACATTGGCATCTCAACCACATCCACTACGAGTCGTTCAACCAGTAAGACAAGCAGCGGTGGTCTGTATCGCCCTGACGGCTATCTTAGGAGTACCAGTACATCAACATCAGGGAACATACCTTCTGGTGCGGAGTTTACCGGCAATGGCATTCCACCATATGGCTTTGACTATGATATGAAACCTGTGGATGGTAGGCTTTGCTTGCATTTGATTGGTCAACAACAGGCATGACATTATTTTTGGCAAGAAGCTGAAATTTTTAAAAAATCTTGGCTCAAAATAGTATGGAGAATTATTTTCAGATGCTACTTGGTAAAAGGAAATGAAAAATGTTCAAATTGTTTTTCAACCATTTGGCAAAAAAATAATAATAATAATAATAATAATAATAATGATATTTAATATCTGGAGTTAACCCAAGAGTATGAACATTTAAATCCAAGATGTTGATAGATGTTGATATTTTTTATTCCAAATCTGTATGGGTGAAATACAAAAATATGAATTTAAAAGATGCAATCCTTGAAAGTCAAGTGATTTGTAAAATGGAAATCTATTTATAAGAATCAATGGAAAAGCAGTTTTATTTCCAAATATTACAAATTTTGAATTGTTGGTTAGTTTGAAATGAATTGATGCTGAATAATAATGTCATGTTCAGGTGGTAAAATGGGCTTTAATCATCACTTTCTTTTGACTTATTTCTGGGAAAACTTGTCATATGAATTTAGAAAATATCAATATATTATATGCAGTGTGGTCTTAACATTTGTTAAGCTGCATAAATTGTTTCAAAATATATGATGGAGTTATCCCAGCATTTCTACCTTCTTAATCTCACTGCAAATTGACAACTTTGGATTTGAAAACATGTCAGTGAAATGATGTTATGGATGTCACACATGCAGGGGTCTTTTCAGATCTGGCTTTTTGGTATTTACACTTGTTTCCAAATTTCAGTACCAGAAAGGCTATAGGGTGCTCTCGCTCCTTTTTTAAGCCAGTGTAAATGACAGTAAGAGCTAAAATATAACCCAACTGTCATTTCAGTGTCATAATTTCATAGATAAGATTTCAAATCCAAATACTCTATAGGCTTAAGCAACCTTGGTCAGAATAGCATTTCACCAGCTGTGTTACACACTTATAATGAAGCAGTGATATTTTGTCACTCAACATTTGAATATATTGGAGCTTAACCAGAATTTCAATTTACTAACTGTTGATTGAAGAAACATTACTGCTTTGTTTTGGTATATTGGTGTTTGTACACCACTTCTATTACACTGTTACTTTGTTGCTTCATTAATACTGTTTGAACAACCAGGAATATATGGTGTGTTTATTCACAAAATCCCTACAAACAATGTCATTTCTCAACCAGTTTAATGTGGTGAAGGAAAATGCTGCTTAATCATATTAAAAGGGTGGTTTGCAGGCACAAGGTTAATTCAACTGGAGGGTTAATTCTTTTAATGGTTTTAGACGTTTTTTGGAAAAAAAGTTGTCATATTTATTGTATGACAGATAGAGTAAAGATACATATTTCCTGGCTTATGTCAAATACATTTATGCTTTTTGAGCAAAAGTTATCCACATTTTCCACTGTGAAGGTCTATTCTATGAGTGAATGCCAGTTTTCAGCAAAATTACAATTTTAATAGAAAAGATTTTTAAAAGAACTTTTCAAGAGTTTGACAATTGAACCTCTTCAGGTGATTTTTGAATGTTTCTGTTATCTGACATTGGTATAAAAAACCAAACCCCTAATTTAACGAGCAGTTTGATTTACTAAGAATGAATATGTATCATTCAATTTCAGACCCTGACACTGGCGAGATCAACCGCAAACATGACTCCGATTCTGACAGCGACATGTCAAATGGAGACCACATGGAACTGGCTTCCAGTCATTCCTCAGATGATGACGATGATTATGAATATGAGAAAGGTCCTCGTTGGGATCAGCCAACTAATAAAGTATTAGGTGAGATGTGTATAAATAAGCAATACAGAAAAGGATTTCTGGTTAAGGTTCTGGGTGACATGGGGTAGTTAAGTAAAAGAAGAGGTGGATATAAATTGTACAGAATGAAGTAGAAATCTAGTGAAAAGCAAAATGATAACTTCCTTCAATCTAATGATTATCATGCAGAATTGTTATAAATATGCGAATTTTTGGAGTTGGAATTTTAGTACACAAGACCTTGTAATGATTAATTGTCAATGACTTACAATAATGACCAGCACTGAGGTGCTGTAAAAAGTGTGACAAAAGATTGACACTTGACTTTACTATGTATTTTAGAACGTGTCAAGTCTCAGACTCCCAAGGGTCCTGCTCACAGTACGCCAGTTGGTAAGTAGCACTACAGAAATTTATCTTCCTCTGTTTCAAGCTCGTATACCTTTGTAAGTTACAGACTAGACCCAGAGGTTTAAAACAGACAATTTGTTTCATTTACAAAATCTATTTAATGATTTTTTTCTATCTGTATATAATGGTTGATTTTTTTTCCAGGGCGCAACTCTCCGACATCACGGTCTCCTACGCGCTCTCCCATTCATTCCCCTGTTAACATGAACAACCATAGAAAGTCTCCGCTTTATGACAATGACATGAAGTACCCCAATGTAGTCAAACTCCCAGATATAAGGTCCAGTGTGGAAAAAATCCCTCCTATATATGAAGAAGGTGAAATTATTGTTCTTTGTTAAAAAAAATGGAACCTTCAGCTATGAAAAGATTATATTTCCAAATGATAGTCCATAATACAATGACAATTTAATTTGAAATTTTTTATTTTCCTTGAGTATTACTTATATCATTTTTTACTTAAAAATAAAATAGTATAATCCCTCAGTGATATTTAGATACATGCACAGAAGAAATATAGTTAAATGTACCATTTTAATTTCCTGATAATACACAAAATCCATGGATTATACTGTTTTAATTGGGAAAAAACTTCTTATTCAGATAACAAAGCTTACATAGTCCCTCCAGAGAGAAGTGACAGCCTGCCCCCAAATGGAGTCCATGATGGTCCCCCATCTAAACCACAGCACCTGCGGGACAGGGTTGCAGTACAGGTCCTCACACATAATGGCAGCATATCTTCAGACACAGAGGAGGAAGAGTAAGTAGTGGATTGGAGAAAGGGGAAAAGAGTTTGAAAGCTAGAAAACTAATGGAGCAGGAGTGAACAGAGCATGTCCTTCCACCTCCCTTTTTTATGTGATAGATACAATATGAGTCGCCGAGCTGTACGTGAAATATTACGAGTGTATTGGCAAGCCGCAGGCGAGACAATACACGAGTAATTTTCATGTACAGCTCGGCGACGAGTGTTGTATCTGGCTTAAACCACGGCCTCTGATTGGCTACTACACTAGTAGTGCAACAGACCGTGGAACGCACTCGTACATGACGTGCTTGTATGTCGAATACAGCATGGCCGAGTCTTTTGTTCTACGCCCTTAAGTGTCAGATATTTAGATGGAGAAGGAAAATCATTCTTGATTTTTTCCTTTGACTCTCTTGTTAAGTACAATGGATATTGGAGCCCTACTGCATCTAGGTATCAGAAAAAAATTTGGAGGAGTGTTTTTCGAAAAAATACTTGTTAGCAGAATCTTTGTCATTTGGAGATTTTTCTTTACTTAACTTGGATGTTTTTATTAAGTATATTTTTAATCCTATATTTTTTTCTATGTATTTCAGTCATGAAACAGAAGTATGACATTCAAGGTCAAGGTCACCAAGACGATCCAATCAGAATCTGCCTTAGAGGACCATGTGACTTAGTGTTGAAGATGTATTTGTAGCATGTGTAAATATTCTGTGAATGTAAATGTTATTTATGAAGTCATGTCTCATGGCTGTATTTTCTGATTGCATTTATTTCTGCCATTTAGACATGGCATTTTTTTATGCAGAGAATTTGAAAAATGCTTGCCATTTCATTGCGGTGCATATGAGGTGCAGTTTATTAGGGAAAACAATATAACGTTTTATTTTTTTCTTTTTTAAGTAACTTTTTTTATCATTTGTTTTTTTTTTCTTAAAATCTACAAAACAGAAAAATACTTTCCAGCTTAAGATAATCAGACTTTTAGTTCAAGTATTATATCCTTGGAGTGCCTTTTGTACTGGAATAGACTTGAATCTAAAGGAACCAGCAATGTTGTTTGAAAAAAGAGCATAGGTCATATAGTGTTTTGCAATTTGACATGGAAATATGAAGTATGTTGCTATGGTGACATTTTGTATATTTTGTAAAAAGATATTTGTAAGTGCAAATTTTATTTGCATAGATGTTTATAATGTCAGCAACTTTCAAGGCCCTCGTTAATGTATCTGTATATGTTGTAAATGGTTGTGATTGGACTCTGTGAATTTTGAATGAAATGCTTTACGCTGCAAAGGCAGAGTGTGGAAAAAATCACTAGCACATTTTCACAATTATATTATTGAATTAGTGCTGATTGGTAATTTTGTAAATGTTTTACTTCTTAGGGGATTCATAATTTTTACGCTTGTGTAATGTTTTAAAGTAGGTTTTTTATATCTCTTGTGACAATGGAAATTTAAGTCATTGCTTTAATTTTTTTTAAAGAATCCTTGTAAGATAAATGAATATAACTCAAAATTGGGTTAACAGAATATTGTGTAGTTTTATTGCATTTATTGCAAAGATCATTTTGCCCCCAGTTTCAACCTAAAGGTTAACAGATATTTTTAGTTTATATTATTAGCACTTAAAGTAGAGTTTTATTGGAACCTGAAATTGATCTCTTCTTAAGAATATTAACATTGCTGCTGAATGTGCACACATCTCTGTTTTTAATATATTTTTTGTCTATGACAAACAGGTTATTGGATGATATCCTTCTAAAGGAATATTTTGGTTTGTCATCAGTTTTGATAGATTGTCAGGGATGTGAGGGGTGTCCTTGATTTTAGTACATTATTCTGACTCAGTTACATCCTTGCTTGTATGATGTATGGATCCGCATTTTAGTATTTTATAATGGGTCCAAGATAGGGGATGAAAAAGGATCAGTACATTTAAAATGCTGAATGATATTTCAGTATTAGGGTCAGTTTTTTAGGTATTTTGTTTACATTGGAACATTTGTTGTCATGTCACACCCTATTTCCTTCCAAGAATTACTCTTACAGTAAATATTCAGGTGTCGGCTCTTTCTAAGAAGTCACATACACAGTAGTTTTGTTGTGCATATTAATGTCACCTATATTTGGCAGTCTCATTTTATGGTGGCGCCATCTTCAGGACAATTAGTTGTGCCACCAGCACGTGCTTGAGTAGTAGTTGTACCACATTGTCTGTGATACAAAGCATAGAGTTTTGTTAATAACAGTGAAGCTTTTGGTGTTGAAGAGCTTTTGAATGTGTGCTAACAATTGTTTTCTAGTAAAAGATCACAACTGATAAAATGCTAAATAAATTGTCTAAAAAATTCAGAAAACTTGTTCTTGAATCGTGTTCCCTACACTGTGGCTTAGGCCACTGGAAACGACAATATTTAGACTGGTAACATTTTACCCCGCGTGTCGTGCGATTAAGTTGTGTACGGTTTTCTTGGCGAATTTTTACTCTGTAGCCCGTATAACATCTCGTCGGTGGCCAATTGCAAAATCATAGTTCAAAAACGCAATGCTAGAATGAAGCAACTTTAATCCCCATCTCAGAAAAGCGGTCTTCCACTGCTCTACCGCGTAATGCTCTCGGTCACTTTTCTATAATGAAGCGTACCTTGACCTCTTTAAGGAATTTACCTTAACAGACTTCTGAAAGAAATTTCATTGAATTCATTGAGACTGCCACTACCGTACATTTCCTCCACTGGAAAAGCCACAGTGATGCTACTTCGGATAAAACTTTGAATCGAGAACAATAGCAAGATTCTCTATGAATAAAGGCATTGTTGAATATATTCTTATGAGACCTTATAGAATAATAGGCGCATTTAAAATTGTCCAAAAATCGTATTTCCTCAAAATACATATCCCGCATCTTTCCTTATTCATATTTTAAAAACGATAAAACCCTTCATAGCAGTACCATGTCGACATTTCCTACTGATGTACGGAAGGACATGAAAGTCTTATCATCTTGTCAGACATTTAAAACTAAATCATTACATTGGATTGATATAAAAAATCAAATATAAGTGCATTGATAGCTGTGCTGCTTTTTTTTCCGAGAAAAAAATCGATGTGGTGGAAAAATCCCGGATAGGATATCTGTTATGGTAAGGGGATTTGCGTGATTATCAACTGAAATGATGCTGCAACAGTCTTTAAATTGTCATCATCCAGAACACTTCACAGCTATCAATCCGGTAATGCTTGTTTGGATATGCATTTTTGCATTGAATTTCACAGGACTATTACTAAAAGCTATTTAGATTAAACTTTTCTGCGCCAAAGGCAATACCGTTAAGTGCTATTAAGTTAAATATCGTGCATTTATAGTTGCTTGTTTTTGAAAAGTTACATATTAAAGTTCTTAATATGTTTTTATCCGATATATAGTCCTTAAAGTTTAAAAAAACATGATATTTAATTTCTTCTACTTTGCAAGATGGTATTTGAGCACAACTAAGTAACGATAAATTTCACAACATGTCATAATTTGTCACAACTTGTCTTCTCTAACACAATGCCACGCCAGCAATTTTATTCGTTTCATTCATTCGTCCTGTGAAATCTGATTTCTAAGCTTAGTTATTTGATATCAAACAAAGTGACTGATAAAATGTGATTTTCCAGCAAACTCGAATCGCCTAGGAGCTCACTGTGCCTTAACACATCACAAAGACTTATATTTCAATCGAGGCTTTCGTACGGAGGGTGGGTAAAATGTACATCGTTATGTAAATCGGGTGGGCATTTTGGTGAGATGTGTTCAGAAACGGCATGGTCAGCCATGGATGGAGGAGGAAGAAGCCTCGTGTTATATTCTTTCAATGACCACATGCATTCTAAAAGAACTGCACTAAAAATGGCAGCGATCTGTTGTAAGTACTGTATAGATGATTTAAGATATTGCTCATGTCGTGTTAACAATATTTGCCCCATGTTGGTGCATTTCTCATTTTAGGGATAATGGCAATGGAGATAATGTACCGATGTGAACGCTACTTTCACATGAAAGCCCAAAATGAGTAAAATGTGTTCCTTTGCGTTTGATATTTCATACGAAACGCATACGCCAATAATAAAGACGTATGGAGCTTCTACCTGCTGTCTGAACGTCGGGAAGCCGTTTCTGTCTTAGACAACTCGACAGGTAACTTCATTGGCAGCTCTTCACGAGTACCCTTTTTATTGTTGACGACAGCGAATTGTTTTTTTTTCCTAGAATCAAAAAATGCACTTTTTAATTAAACTAAAACTGACAACAATTATTTCGTGCTTTTTTCCATGTACGAAATCATGTAAACATTCGTAAACAGACTGTTCCGTCAAACACCTTCATATATAGGATTTCACTTCCATGAATATCTGCGTGATCGGAGCGCCTATCCTTCTGTAATTCTCATTCAGTGCACGAGTTATGAAAGGAGTACAACTGATTTTGTTGTAAAGTGCATGATTGCATATATATATAGAACGTGTTGGTTCAATGTATATTATGTCGCATAATTGAATAACGAATAATGCTTTGTTATAACCCCTATAAAATGCATATATACCGTAAGGGGTTGCTGGAATGATTATATTAAATTCCAAGGCATAACTTTGTGAAAGTAATTTTTTCTTTTATTTCAGTGACCCTTACGATGGCATTGGATGCATCCTCCGTCAAAGACATCAGACTTATGTTCGGCGTCGTCTGCATCCACTTCAAGATCGGGCCCGCCTGAGTATCGCACGCGATTGTGAGCAATGCCGTTGTTCCGCACGTCTAATTATTTTCCCCGCAACCCGATTAAAAGTCATTACAGCACGTTAACAGTTGATAGATTTTGACTTTTATTTAGAATATCAGTTATGCAAATTCGCAAACTCCTGAACGAACAGTTGAAAGCTAACTATCTCCATTTAATGTCATTTAAAACTTACAGTATAGCATTCTTATCACGTTCTTTGTAATTCATATAATTAATTAAAAACCAATCAATTCTCAACTCTTTCAAACGCGCTTTCTCTTACGTGCAAATGAAAAATCATAAAGGCAGCTTTTATAGCGTGAAAGGGAATGATGCGGAAATATGTTACACGTGTAGTAACAGCGGCAAAACTATAATCGTGTGAAGACGGTGGTAAAACCGTTTGGTTCGCAGGTTCCCCCGAGAATAGCCTTTTCGTCGAAGTTTGTCTGATGTTCAGTTCGCATGGTTGACATTTAATATGGAGCAGCATGCATGCTTGGGTTGTATAATTCTGCATCAAAACGTGAAATGAATGAAAAGTCGGACGTAACGAGCATTTTGAATAGAGTAAGAAAAAAGAAAGAAATGTGCCCATCCATACTAAGCGTCAACCCTGCGTGTCTTTGGTTTAATACTACTCTCTAGCCGCCTAGGAGTTTTTTTATAACCTTCGCCAAGGAGGTTATGTTTTCACCCCTGTTTGTTTTTCTTTTTGTCTGTCATCAACATAACTCAAAAAGTTATGGACCGATTTTGATGAAATATTCACGAACTGTCAGAAGTGGGCCAAGGAAGAGATGAATAGTTTTTGGTGGTGATCAGGATCAATAATCAATAATAATCAAAAATTGCTGCCTTGGCGGAAGTCTGCGCTCTCGGAGTGCTTTTCTAATGCGGTTATACGTCAATTCTCCACCAGAATTTTGCCACTCTTCTTTAAAGGAATTATCTTATTCCAAAAAAGTGACTTGCTTAAATGATGTAAGAGAGCGAAAATAAAAAGTGATCATTATAAATGTATTATTATGTACTGTTCAGGTAGAGTATTGCGCTAGCACAGTGCGTAGGACTAGCTTTCTGTTTGAGCTAATTTCCAACTAGACACTAAGCTCTGAGGTAGGGATATTCAAATGTTTATTTGGGTGTAGTAAAACTTTGGAATGAAAGAAAGTTTGCCCAACTCCATTCAGCGAAATGCTTGCAGGAAACTTTTTCGAGATATAGCTATTGTGTGTTTAGTTGAAGAAGAACACAAGATGCAAGGAATTAGGCTACAATAACTTGAAAACACTGTAATCTAAGTAATAACACTTCAGAAATTACAGCATTATGAAACTAGTAAAATGCGCCCACGTTATTGCAGTATTGCCCGCACGCACTGAAATTAGTGTGAATATGCAATTGCAGTATATGTTAAGAATAAACTTCCTATGGTCACGGTGTTTTGATATTGCGTGTCTCAGACCCATATTTTATATATTAATTTATTTTATTTTCAATATTTTTATTTTCTTTCTTTCTTTATTTTTTGCTGAGGAGGGGTGGGGGTCAAATTTTTTGTGTATTACGAAAATCAAACTAAAATGAGGTACAGAGATTCTCCCCTAAATTGATATGTATTTGTTATTGCAGTAAGACAGCCTATGCTGCGCATAATTAACAGGTTTATCTAGGACTAGCATTTATAATAACCCTTTACATTTTAGGACTTTTTTCAATTCTGTTTAAATAACTATGAAAAAAGTTTTATACGAAAATGTTAAAGAAATGCATTAACAGAATGTTCAAAAATGGATTAACGTTTATTTGGAACCCTTATTTATTAAAATTCCTACCGTTTGACCAGTTACTTCCAAATTTAACAAAATATCTTTAAAATTTTACATAAATTTTTGGCACTATTTTGTTTCCTAAACGAACACGAGAATTCGTTATTCCACCAAAAATATAATATTATACCTTTGTGACTTGTTGGATGTGTCCAAGATGGATGTTTGAACACATTTTATAGGACGGCTTTATATTAAAGGTTGGTTTTGGGAACAGAACTTTCTCAATTCAGTTTTATGGTCGGTGTCAAGGGTCGTTGAGGTAAAAAGACATGGTTTGGATGACTGGCCTGCAGTTCTTTTGGTTTATTTGTACTGGCGTGACTCGGTCACTAAACACCATAGACTAGAGTTGTGTTTATTGGTATCTTCTGGACGAATGTATTTAGTTATTATTATTATTATTATTATTGCTATTTGCGTATACTTTTCAATTTTGTTTGTCTATTTTTTTAATAATTGGCTAAATTTTTAAACTGGCTGTCTTCATGTTGTTACTGGTCCACGGGTTTGAAAATTTATTTTCACTCCAAAAAGGTGACATCAGATATTTTAGAATTTACTGTGAGAAACACGAATCTATGAATATCTTGCTAGATTCATCGATGAGCAAAACGACCATGAATCTTACAAAATGAATCATTTTGAGTCTTTCTTTTGGCTTTGTCGGCAGGCATCAGTGTGATGTGGTCATTTTATATTTTATTAAGTATTATTTGCGTTGTGGTATCTCTTTATTTTCTTTTCATAATTTAACAGTTGAATCAGTCGTTTCAGCAACAAATTTCGAATTGCAAAGAACATTCGACATGTTTAATTTACGTATGCTAGCCTTTCTATCATTATTGTACTGTAATTATTGCACTTACTATTCCAAATTCGATGTTTTTATGGAAATTGCTATTTCAAAAATAATGCAAGGGTAAGTTTATCATAGTTTTGTGGAAGTGTCTTTGCTGTATTTATTTTACCTCAATTTACTTGGAAAGCAATAAAATAAATCTTATTCTATAATTTTTTGGAAATCCTTCATCAGCTCGCTTCGAGCTCCTGCCCTTCCCTTATCTTATTTGTCTTACCGACTGAGCTACAGACTCGGGGTCACTAGAGCTGTTTGGAGGATCGTCTTGTAGTGGATACAACTATTCATTTAGAACAGAATTCGAAGCAGCGACATCCCTACTCTGAGGCAAGCGCGCTACCTATTCCACTAACTGTCCCCACCCACCTTCCTCTGGTAGACTTTCTGCTTATATGAACCAAATAGAAATTCTTACCGTCTTTTTTATAAAGCATTTTAACAACTTCTAAGCACCCAAGCATTCGAACCCCGTTGAATATATTGCAAACAATATCCACCGAATATTAATAAATTAATGATTTTATCGAATAGCTACATAAAAAACAATTCCAAAATTATTGCTCTAACAAGGTTCAGTGACTATGTATGTTGAACTGAATAAAAACTGATAAGAAAAGTGCCGAATTTCATGTTTTTGTCACCCTTTTTATTAACTTTCAACATAAATAAATGGATTTGTTGGATGCTGTTCCAAAGGCTTAGCAGCAAATATACTTTCTAAAGTAAAAGAGACACAAAGACCTGCGTCGTAATTTTGAGCTGTAATTTCTATACAGCGCAACAACATGGATATCAAGGTTATTGAAATGAAGTATCTTCTAAGAACTGGCAATAATAATGAATAGAAAGGTCACGCCGAGTTCTGATGGATACATTCGAAAGCTAATTTCCTGTTCCCAACTTTTTTTTTAAATCTTATTTTATTTTTGTCCGTATAGCCTTCGGAAATTATATAATACATTTTGGCAAACTGACCATGTCTGATTCATATGCACCTCTTTATTCAAACAAATAGAGATTTATAAACAAAACAAAAACAACCAACAGCAAAAAAAAAAAAAAAAAAAAAAAAAAAAAGAGTGCACCATACCACGTAGATTCATTTGTAAAATTTAGTAACAATATCGACTGTGTAAATAATTTGTCGAGCGTTTTTCTCGTATTCCTTAACGCTGGCCATGTGTTTAGACGCAGGTTATGAATTAAACTAATGAGGTTTTGATGGCATCACCATGCGACGCGATACATTTATCAGTCAGTAACAGAGCATCCATAGTGGGAGCTCGCACTAGACCGCTCTTTGCACATAGCAACTTTCTTTCGAGACGTAACGAGTCACAACCCCTTAACTTAACAAGTGTGGTTAAAGCTCTTGTCTCATTGGAAATGCGATTAACGTTTGCGGACGTCATCGAAGACCCGAACAGGTTTGAACGCGCCTTCAGCAGTCAAAATTCTATGATGCACCATCCCTTTCACACACGTATGCTGCGTAGTCTGAACTGCCACGCCTAGCTGTGTATATTACTTGAGGGCTCGGTTTCTTGGCATCTGGGTGCAACTGAGATCGCGTCGCCGCCAAAAGCTCCGTGTGAGCCGTGATGTTCACACCCGAAGTATAAGCTATGACGGAAAGGGCCGACTGATCATACCGGTGATTGGCGAGTCCCGCCCCTAGTGGCGATATGCACGTCACGTCCATGGAACACTGGATCCAGCGCGGCAGAATCCTGCGATATGCTTTACTGCCTTTCACCCATCCACTTATACCGCCGGCAAATGAATACTTCCCTTTAAACTTTGACATTGTTTCATTGAAATATCGGAACATATTGAAATGAGTTAGACGAGTCATATCCACGTCTTGTCCCTGAACGAAGAAATGTCCATCTTGTTTCAGAAAGTCGTCTATTTTTGACATAGGTCCTCTGACATCACATCCTGCGTCGATCCACAAGATTTTTCCAAATCTGTCCACGGCGTCTTTCAGCACCACCGATTTCCATGCAAATTTTTTCAAATACGACACATGTTCTGGGTATCGAGGCGAGTCTAAATGAAAGTTCACTAACTTCGTTCGGCACCAGCTCTTAACTCTCTGAATCTGTGTTTCAGATAATCCCAAATTGTACACAACAATATTCCTACGAGATTCCCAATAGTGGACAGAGCCCACTAGATTAACGAGTCCATCAAAGTAAACATTGTCACTGCCTGTGACAAGAGTGAAATTCATATTTTGAATATCAGCCTTAAATAGTTCTGTCGTCGTTATCGTTTTCTTTGTTGAGATCGCCTTGTCTTGTATTCTAGCTCCATCTCGGGGTGGAGTAGACGGCGACTGAACAGATAATTGGTTTGGCGACTCACGCACTAATTCTGTGTCTGAAATTAAGGACAGTTTCCGCATTCGCCGCATTTGTACTGAAAAGGGAAATGTTAAAATGTTAATGTCAAGATATGTTTGTCTTTTATTTGTAATAAGAAAAGAAAAGTTATAAAAAATAAAATGAATATCTTCCAAGTGAAGTTACCTCTATCTACACGAGTAGTTAAAACGTCACAGACCCGACTCTCTTTATTCATAATTCATTTGTAAAGTCAATTCCAATTATCGGTTATTCCACAACCCTCAAGCCAAAACGCACTGCCAAAATAAATGAATAAATGACGAGAACTAGTTTGAAAAAAAAAATGTGTTTTTTTCTGGAGCCAAGGCGTTGGTCTGAGATGAAAACACGGTCCAAAACGGAAAAACAAGCAAATTATGAGAGCTCAACTGAAAAAAAAACAGCTGAAAGGTTTTATTTCTGGCTTCTTCAATCACCATTTACAATGCACTCTAATGAAAGGCAAATTTTCCCAGATGAAATGTTGCTGGGATGGCGATCGTTGCATATGCCACATACGTCATACGGAATTTCTTGTGAACTGACAAAATATACGTACTGCGTTACAAATACTATTGTAGAGATTTTTGAACGCCATAACACTCTCTGCCTTATCATCTGGTCAAATATATGGCCTGTACAATCATTACGAGGTCCAAGACCAGCAAGAACGTGATATTCTCCCGAGATCAACTTCAACCATGCCTCTCCCGCCCCTGTGTGTGTGTGTGTGTGTGTGTGTGCGCGTGTGTGTGTGTGTGTGTGAGAGAGAGAGAGAGAGTGAGAGCAGAAATTAAGAATATATACACGAGTAAAGAGCGTTGCTTATGACACAAAATGGACAAAACACAAGAATAACTTTTAAACAAACTGATCGTTTTAGACGAAAGAGACCGCATTGATTAGAGCCATGGCGTAATTGTTGAGTCAAGTTTACTTTATAGGATCAATCTACCACTATCAACATTTTCCTAAAATTAAAATGGGGAAAATGTGATAGGGAAAGCCTTTGTCTTAACAGCGAGATCGATAGCTGCACAGATCCATACGTTTTCCTGAGATCTTCGCGTTCTCCTGGGATCAAAGGGTCTAAAAAGTTGGCACGGGAAGTGACAGCGAAGTCATATCACAAAATACATTTTAGTTCGATTCCGTTTTGATTCCATCCGAATGCCGTAGGCAGTTCTGAGTGAAATCCAGTTAAAGTCCTCGAAACAGTGTTTGCCTTCTCTAAATGATTATCATTTCAAAACTGATTAAAAGACACTGTACGTCATGAGTTGGCTAAAAAAACAGTACACCACCATTGAGAGGAATGCCAAGAATAGATGTGTATAAAAAGCCGCTAACGAGATTCATTCAGCTAACGTCGATCCTTTTATTCATGTATCTTTAATAATAATAATAATAATAATAATAATAATAATAATAACCTCACCTTCCGGGTTGTATGGAGAGGTGACACTCCACAGAATCAGAAGGTTGAACCCCACGAAAACCACGAGGTACGTCGTGACTACACTGCACCACCGGCGTCTCATCCTCACACGGCAGCCACCTCAAGGCCGGCACTCCCTCCCTGCGTGATCTCACAAATCTGACACAAATCTGGAAGAGGCGAACAGATTCAAATCTGAATTCATAGACAAGCAAATTATGAAAACTCAACTGGGAAAAAACTTTTTTGTTGTCTTTTTATCTCACTATATAAGAACAATACACAGATGTCTCTCAATGTTTGTTGTATAATGAATTATGCACGCCTTGTCTGCATAAACATAGCTTGGGCAAAGCAACGCTAACGCTTTCTCTTAAATTGCTTCCTTATATAATTCCGTTTCTGTTACGTCATGTTAACAGTCAGAATATGTAAAAACAGCTGTGACTGTGCATATCAAGGTGATGCACTCTGTCACTTGGTGATTCTGTCAAAATGAACGCTGAAGGAAGGAATAAAAACTAGGTTCCCCCAACCATCATCAAGAAACCAATATCAATGAAGCCCAAAATAGTCGCTCGTCTGCAATTTACCGTTTTAATTAACTACAACACGACAAATAGGTCGATTCCTTGTTATATTTTCACATCGGATATGAGTTAACGTAAGCAATTGTAACATTTCAATTACGCTTGTTCCTGAAAAACTCTACGTGGATGCTAATTTTAGCTGAAATTATCAATGGACAAAGGCAGAGCGTTTTTGTATGAGAAAATAATTTAGAACTGTCTCCTCCAAATCCCACATATTTCATAATGTCAAACAAATATTTTTTACATGCATTTGAAAAAAGGACTCTTTCTCGTGTTTACATTAGTAAAGCAAATCCGAAATCCTACTCTATGATTTATCCTACTCTTGAAAATCATACATTTCAATGGTAGATCCGTAAACATCAGGCAATAACGATACAAAACTAGTAAAATGCCACTTAGTTGCTATCACTTACGTCTTATTAAAGCAAGGAAACGCCTTTTAACTAAGTCCTATTCTCTGAAAGTTGCTGAAGAGATCACCAAAGCGCCAGCTCAATTGATACGTCGATCATTCAAGGAAAATGACATCGACTGAAAAAGCTTTGCGTGTTGACTGTGCAGTGTTCCCTGCGAGCCAGGGACGCAGCTCATGAGTTATACATGAGGCTTCAATAGGGAATAAGATAAAATCGAAACTACTGACACGAGATTTGTTATTGGGAGTCATCTCATATTTGATCTCGATTTTTCGATTGAGGGGCGGGGGGTATTGTAAAGGTACCAAGAATAATTAATTACCACACGACAGTGAGAAACATGGACCCATTACAGACACCAAGGATGTACTGCATCAGTGGTATATATTGATTTCCTGTTTGATAATGTTACTATTATACACCACTCTCTGGCATTTTTACCGTACACACACACACACACACACACACACACACACAACCGTAGGCCTACAACTCTGTGATATCCATTTTTTTCTAAATCAATTTGTGATGCGATTTTAAGCACTCTCTCCGCTACTCAAAAAATTCGTTTGGCAATTTTTTTTTTTTTTTAATTTTTAGATGCTTTTACATAAACTTCATGCCTTCCAAATAATATTAAACTGCATAAGTATCCTTTCTATTACTTACTGAGGTGTGGTGGCCAGCAGAGAGTTCAAAATAGGCCTACTGTGCAGCTGTCTTCTTCGAAAAAATATAAAGAAAAAAAGCGGACCCTCCTGCTCCCGCCTGTAACCAAACCCTTTTGAAATTAGGCGACCAAAGGTGTTTCACGAAAAAATCTATATTCTAAGTTTGACGTAAAGCGGTATGAACTCACGCGCGCGGAGAACTCTTCCACAAAAAGAGATCAGTATCACTTGATCCAAGACATGAAACAATGATCAACATCGCTATTGACATCAAAATGAAGCAAAATATAACACAGATAAAAATTCCCGAGTAATGAAACGTATCACGAGGAACGTATCAGAATTAAAATCCAATGTCATTGTAACTTAGCATTAACATTTTGTCTTGGAATACCAATATCGGACATCTAGCGACCTAGCGACCAAAATATAAACAAATGAAGCGTTGCATGTAGTTTTTAAAAGTATATAATTTTTGAAAACTCGATTCCATTCAATTAGATCATAACACAATACTTTGGTCGTAATACGCCTGTTTTTTTTCTTTTTTTTTCGATCTGCTGTCAGCCAGTGGATTTGAAATGTAGGAGGTTTAGCGCGCGCGCACACACACACACACACACACACACACACGCACACAAAAAAAAAAAATGAAGAAAAGTACAGTAAAAATGTCTGCGCTTACGTTATGGTAGAGGCTATACATCTTTCTACACTAACATTTTAAGGTAACTAATAAGTCAAAAGTCACTTTATCGTAGGCCTACATGATTTACAACAAAAGGATTTCTAGATAAGGTCAATACACACACACAAAAAAAAATTACTTGTCCTTGGAGATATAGCCTATACGCTTGAAATTTTACAGTCAAACTGATAAAAGACCAATATAAATTATCTGGGTTAAATTCCATATCCGGCTTCTTTTCAAAAGATGAAAAATAACGCGTTTAGGCAAAGATTCAACCGGTTCAACCCAAAGGACATTACTAAGAAACTAAACTCTAACCATAAAATAAACCTAGTCCTAGTCCAGTATTTGTTAGTTACATGTATCAACGGACTGTTTGAACATACTTGTTCATCAAGCGGAATGAAGCTCCAAAAATGACAATACAAGTAGACGGTGTAGCAATACTGAAAATTGCGGAACTTAGCCGTCTACAGGTGAACGCTGGCCCTTAATAAACGTGTATCATGTGGTGTCGAATAGAAACAAGAAAAGTCGAAGCACTCACCTTGAGAAAAATAGTAGCTTGATTTGATTCTACGCCGTCATGGAGGCGAATCTAACTTGAAAAATGACACTTCTCAGAAACTGTTACCCTAAATGTTACCCATATGTTTGCTGTGAGGCTCCCACGCAAGCGAGCATTAGTAACACGTGAATGTAAGTCGATTAGTGTTCTCCTGTACACACGGCGTGTATTCAGAGAGACAAACATGAAGATTGTGCCGTCATCAAAGTGACAATGCTGGGCGGTGTGATTGGCATATTTGCCGCGTGATTACGTTTCCCCGTAACCAGTGTTCGTAATTAACTGTGGCCCTCGTGTTTCACGAATAAATATCTGTTTATTTGTTCCTCTCTCTCTCTCTCTCACACACACACACACGCACACACGCACACACACACACTGGTTTATCCAGGACACTGCCAAGGATGGCGCACAAGGATTTAAACATGTATAAAACAATAAAGCAGAAAACAATTTTACCATAATGTGTATGGCACAGGGATGGAAAACCTACTTGGTTTTGTCTCCTTTCGCTCGCTATCCTGTTTATTCTTTTTCTTTATTATAAGTACTTTTTTTTTGGGGGGGGGGGAGACGTACGTAGTCTGCTAGAGAAGGAAGGGACTGAAGAGGAGGGGGAGAAAGGCATGTATGCAGTTTTCTCTAGGACCCGCCATTGTCTTGTTACACGATTATTTAATCATCTAATTCTTGATTTATACTTAAATGCATTTTCACGGCAAAACAGTAAATTTTACTCGATTGTCGTGGGTGAACATTGCTAAATGTATTGCTATCATTAGTCTGTGTAATGTAGTTAAATTCCACAAACTGGGTCATCTTATACAGGTGATTTGCGCTGCGAAATGTGCATGTTCCATACCTTCATTTAACCCTTTGTGAAATTCATTTCAGACCATAAGTCATGCACTTATAAAGGAAGCCAAGCTGGTGTCTGTGCAGACTCTGTGTAGAAGCACAAAATCATCTGGGCCTTGAACCAGTCTAGGACACAGCTACAAACGGGCCACGCCTCTTGAGTTGTCCAATCTTCGATCAATAATAAGCAACCGGGCTATTCGAACTTTGTAGATATGGTGTAGTTATATCCAGTATATCCAAGTCAAGACAGAACTTCCTTACAAATAAACCATAGTCCCGGAGTGTGCAACTGCATTACATTTCCTGTTGATGTGTAAATAACCCCATTTTATCGATATCTTGTGTACACACTTTCTTCTCCAAAATTATCTGCCCCCTTTACAGTTTAACGACTAACAAAATGCGGAAACTTACCAAGAACTCATGTTTTACTAGATCCGACACGACCAAATCGGAGTTCACCGTTCCTGATAGAAGCCCTATTATTCACTTATGGGCTTTGGGTTATTGTACTAGCACCTTATGTGATAAATAACATGGCGGTTAGAACAACCTTCTTCTTTGCGATTATAACTAAAAAGACGCTTGAGCGAACGCGGTTAAAAAATCTGAACAAAGGGAAAATATTGACAAAGGTATTCTGAGGTCGGCACACCTGTTGCAGGTACAATAGTCTGTACTAGTACTCTTCTTTGCATAAAGGTCCCTTTGATAACTTTATTTAGCGCTATATCACTCCAACCCCTGAGGTTTATTATTTTATAACAAATTGTTTTGTTAAACTAAAATACATTGTTCGATCTTTAAGTTAATACCTACTTTTAAATCATTTTGTAATTGGTCCCTGCTACGCTACTTACAAGTTTTTGTTGAGCTATAGTTGCACGCCTTGAAAACAAGGTCCCGTTAAATAATGCTATATTTTGTCTTGGCATAGGATAAGTACTATAAGCCTTTTTTCAATGATTTTGAAAATATTTTTACATTCAACTGTTTCGTGACAAGCAAAGGTTACTTTTGTATTAGGGCGATACTCACCCTACTTGAGAAAACTTTTTTTCATTTTATAAGCATTTACTGTATGTAAGAGGATAATAAACCTATAACCGGAATGCTTTTTTCTTGGCAGTAATTCACATTTATCTAAAGAAGTTTAACTTTTTTCTTGCTTTATAACTTTTAAAAGCGATAAGAAAAGAAGTAATTGCAAAGTCACTTTATGGATGTTTAATCTTCCACATTGTCCGAGTAACTAGGCTTGAGAAGATGGGTGGTGAAGTAAACTAAGTCATGATAAGTGATGATAGCCATTTATTTTATCTGCCATAATTTTCCTTTGCCACTTACACTAAACATAATGTCAACGCGTTTTCATGTTCAATTTTTTTATTTCAATTGGTCCAATAAAAATTATTGCCATTCGTCACTATTATAAACCGTCAGGCAAAATATCCAAGTCTGGGGTAAGTTTTACACATACGGAAAACATTGCATTATGGGGATTCTTGACAGGGTGGCTCAATTTTCGAATATGAAACATGGCGCTGTGGACCCCCTTCTTTGAAGGAGGATATGGGGTAGTCATGGAGGTCAGCGTTGCGCTTATGTTGAACGATTTTATTAAAAATTGTTGTCAGTTGCACCATTCCAGCTGAAACAACACAATTTATTTTGTATCCAGATTGTTGACAATCAGTTTCTTTGTCTCTCTAGCTAAATGTGAAAAAATAACGATAAATAAAAAAAGGATTTGCGGAGTCTGATTAATTTTATTGTCATGCTGTCAAAATTCAGTACACAAAAGGTAAAATAGAATAAGACCAGAAATTATCAAGAAAAGATCTAGACCAATGCTCTGAATAAGAGAAAAGGCACAGAACTGGCTACTCAAAGGTTGTGTGGTTATTTTATCTATATTTACCTAAAACTTCCTACTCATCGGCGCTTGCTAGTATCAAAAAAGTATACTGGACCTAAAATTGTAGCGTAGTTGGCTAATTTGATATAATAAAGCTTTTAATCTTTTCTTGTTTGTCGGAATGATAAAAACATAACCCCGTTGGTATGCGTGTACAGGAATGGGAACAAACATTGAGGCCAAGCACTTATTTAGTTTCTAAACAGACTTATTAGGGACGGTTTGTATGTGTTCTCTCAAGGTCAAAATTATTACATTAAGATTGCCTTTGAAATTATTTTGAAAAGCACAAAGGTAACACTAGTAAGGGCATATCAGTTAAAAGTACACTTCGAGGCAAGGACAAGCACATGAAGCGATATCAGATTAAAACAACAGAGGTATTTAGTATGCGTTATGTTCAACTCATGTTTTTTTCGCGTCAAACTGGTTGCATAAAGTGAACCACAAATCTGCAAAATTATTTTTGAAAAACTTGCACACACCAATTATGTATCAGTTCGGTTTAATGTAAACCGCAAAACACAAACACTTAAATCAAGTTAAAAGCAGTTCCACACGCACTTAGTTAGTGTGAAACAACATCCACTTTCTCAGTAGTTGGAGTTAAGTGCGGTCATGCTTTTTACACGCCAAATTCGTGACGTTTAATTTTATTCAGAAAAAAATTATTTTGTGAATCATGAAACTATGAGTTTGCATCAGCAAGGAATCTGGATATCAGAAATGAAATATATATAATTCCCGCCATTTTGTACAAGCTTCCATCCAGCCCTTTCAACGCTAGATATTTTAGAAAGATTGTTAAACAATTTGTAAAATTTGAGCATATCACACGAATTATCTTTAACTTGCACTGGCTGATCATGTCGAAAATAATAACCAAAACGGTTCTTTTGACTTTCAAATCTCTAGCAGGTTATTTCACTCCTCACGGAAGTAGACTATTATTATTTCGGTAACTAATTCCAGCCCGTATTAGTATTACTTAGTATATAATAGTTTATTCATAGTCTTATTTACCCATTTATTGTTATTCACTATTGAGTTAAAAAGATAGTTCAGTAATGTACAAAACACGTGAAGACATAAATGAAAACACATCAGTGCAAGGCCCTGTAGCATCCCAGGGGAGGAAAAATGACCAAAACAAAGAAAATCTCCTTTTATTGCATAGCAACCCCCCTCCACCGAAACTTAGGCCCATGCCTGAATATTTCCGTTTTGAGTTGCTCTCCTCGCCAGCTCTATCTTTGCGTGAAATTTTCCTGTAAAAATTCATAGCATCCTTAACTTTATAAAACCGTTCAATCAAACAAAAGCAAAAATCAATGACGATAACCATGTAGGAGGAGAATAGGCTATGCTCACCCTGAAGTTCGGAGGCCAGACAGAGAACGTGCCCTATCCCAGAACAGACGTGCTGTCTCAGAGAGTACCGTGACTCCCAGGGTGGATGACCTGGAGGTCGAGCTGATATGATTGAGGTGAAGGGGTCGAGGTATGGAGGTAATGGAAACGAATAACAAAACAGCGGTGAACGGGGCACAATTACCATTGTGTGGATCTTGTGGAGTATCGTTTTAGAAAGATAACAGTAAAAGTTTGACAGATGAGAAGAAGCGCTTGTTTCTCTTTTTACTAGACTGTAATGGCCTACTCATTGCAGCATCATTTCTACCGCAGACGCGCGCTCATCTTCATACAAGTGTCTGTTCATTAAAAAATCACTTATATGTTTATAAATTAAAATGCAATTAAAATCAATAAAAATTAATATCTCTACCCTCCCTTTTTCTGTCCCACTTGCTAATGTCATAACATAAAAATTCCATATAGTCTCTATTCCTTCCCCGGGCTGTGTGAACTATCATGGGGCTCTCCACGCTCTTGTCTTTATTAACTTGACTTCTGTGGGCCGCCAGAAGCTCGGTGTGAGCCGTGATATTCAGCCCAGAGGAATGGGCGAGGATAGACAAGGCAGACTGATCGAACCGGTGATCGTACAAACTTGCGCCATTGGGGGATATGCAGTCTACATTCATTGCGCATGTCACCCAGGGCTGGAGGATTTCATTGAAAGCACGGCTGTCTTTTACCCAGCCGTGAAGTCCCCCGGCATATGAATATTTTCCTTTGAAACGTGTGACGTTTTGATGCAAGTAATCGAACATCATTTTGTGGCACGTTTCTACCATGTCTGTGTCTTGACCCTGCACAAAGAAATATTTGTCCAGGTGGAGATATTCTCGTATTTTGGTGAGAGGGCCACGAATATCGCTCCCTGCGTCCGACCACAGGATGACCCCAAATCTTCGGACCGCCTCTCTGATTATGATCGGTTTCCAAGCAAATTGATCCACGGTCGCAAAGTGGGGCGGAAACGATTTGAAATCGAATTTTAAGAGTTCCGTGCGGCACCATGTTTGGATGAACTCTCGTTGCGATTCTCGGAGACCCAAGTCATAAATAACGAGATTTGTGGAGGGTTCCCAGAAGTGCACGGACCCAACAAAGTTAACCAATGCTTTGTAAAATTTTTTGTTGGACGCAGTAACGATGGTGAGGTTGTAATTGTCACTGAGTTGTGTTTGTGGTAAAAGCGGTACTGGTGGCTTTGAGGGAGTAGCATCAGGCGTGAAATGCCCCAGCACGTCTTTAGTATTTCTTTCACTTTGGCGAGCTCTTGCGTTAATAACTGAAACACACAAAAATCATTATATTGTTTGTTGCAAAATATGATTTATCTACATAATCGATGTCATGATTACAATAACAACAACAGCAGCAACAACAACAACATCGGCAATGATGAAAATAATAAGAAGAAAAACAATATCAGTGGTGCATTTAGAGGGGGGGGTCAGGGGGGTCCTGACCCCCCCCTTCGGTTTCTGACAAAATATATCACACCAATATTCCCCTCTTAAAATTTTGATTAGCTAGTTTATAGTTCTAAACCGTACCAAAGGGCACTGTTTGCTGTCAAAAACACCAATAATTTTTCGGGGCCCTTGAACAGGCCCCGAACCCCCCCCCAAGGGGGCGATGGTCGTCTTTGCACCGAGGCCTGCCGTTCCGAACCCCCCCCCCCCAAGTAATCCTGGATCCGCCCCTGAACACCTCTGTAGGTGACAGAAAGGTATGGTACCTGCGGGCGTCGCCATCAAAATAAAAGTGTAAAATTGTAAAACTAATGTGTTCCAGCTGGGTTGACGTTGAAGTACACCGAAAGTATCATAAACGGAAGATTATTCGTCCGTAGGTTTATGTCTCAAAAATGTGTTTTCAGTTGTTTTAAATCACAATGGGGTGGGAGGGGGGCAATCATAGGGTCACATGCCCGTCCCTCCCCTTTGCTTTTGATACTCCCCCCCCCCCCCA